AACCCTAAACCCTAAACCCTAAACCCTAAACCCTAAACCCTAAACCCTAAGCGAGTGCTAGAGAAGACAACGTTAGAAGCGGCGGTAAGCTAGATATTATAATCTTGTACATTGATGCTGTTATAGATGCAAGCCGTACTTAGTGGGGTAGCTACCAGTTCCTCATTATACACCAGGAAGCTAATATCGCCTGAGTTCGGTAACCGCAGTCTTGAGGCCAGAGAATAAAGGCCATTGTGGCGAGCAAACCCTGTAACCCTAGGTTGGAGAGGAAGATTAGTTCCATATTTGCTACAGTATTGCAAAATGTGACATTAGACTGACTTAATGAACAGAAGTTTGGGGAAACCTATGTGTGAACAATTCGATAATGATTGGAGTTTAGGGATTTTTCTGCGTGCTGTCGAGAATTCATGAGAATTATCAGGCCTGGACCTTTACATACTGTATCTTTACCAAGCAGAGAGACCGACCACTACCCCTTGGTCTTGGTCTACTGATAACATGCCAGTAAGACGGTAGTATGTAGCTTCTATGAGACCTTCATCTGTGATTAAGTGTTTGGTCGGTTGCTGTCATCTGCCTCCCTTGGAAACCTTAAGCATATATAAAAAATTAACCCCAACCTTCCAAACTTCAATGGGCCTCAATACAGCTCCCCCCATGGGTTACGTCACAAGGCCCCAGGCCACGATCTCTGAATAGTTTCATCTCAGACAATCTCATAACAAGCGTGCACGATAAGATTCTTGCCATCGACCGTCCACTTGACCGAGCCTTGGGAGCGGTCCCAATCATGAGCGACGGCAGGAAAGATCTCCTTAGAGTGAATGGTGTAGACGTAGAGTACACGACGATCAGACTTGTACGAGATACTCTCTATTTGAAAGTAGGCAATATGCCGGCTATCCGGCGAGAATGATGGGCTATTGGAATCGATTGTAATACCATGACGGGTGAGCGGGCTGTCTGGACCGTTTATTAACTCAGGCTCCATGGAAGCGTCGTGCGGAACTATGTAGATATAAGATGCAGGGTGGTGAGCTCGGGGCAGTTCTGGGGCCTTGCTCTTGAAGGCTACCCATATTCCATTTGCAGAAAGATCATAGTCCGAGGAATCCCCAAATGGGGGAGATGGCGATTCAAGATCTTTCATGCCAGCAACGAGATTTCTTAGTGGCGCATCGAGTGAGTAGCGAAGATTTGGCCCCGCTCCCTCCTCCTTTTTGAGGGTGCCGGAGAAGACAGCGTTGAAAGTAGTGGTAAACCAGGTATCCCAATCCCGCACGAAAATATTGTCATAGATGTGAGCCGTACTCAACGGGGTGGCTGCCAGCTCTTTATTATACGCCGTTCCATTTCTGTATGATTGGCCATACACCAGGAATTTAATATCGCCTCGTTCGGTAATCGCGGTCTTGAGGCCAGAAAATAAACCAGGCAAAGACGCCGTCTTGTACCGACTGGATAATTATTAGTGAGGAAAAAAAGCAAAACATACCTAGGGCACACGTACGACTTCTCAAAGCTAGCTGTGTTAGATAACCACAGTTCAATACCACCACGGATATCGGCATTAGTACGGTTGATGTATAACAGGCTTGAATCGTCGGTGCGCAGCCAGATCAACTCGGAGACATTGCTGTCATTTGTGAGCACGGTGATATTGCCACTGTCCAGGCCAACCAAGTTCCAAGATATTGAAGTTTTTTGCGTCTCCCGAGAATATTCGAATGATGAGAACAAAGCCATTTCCTTATGCTTTGTTAATGCTTGAATCGATATCTACAAAGAACGACAGACAACTTACCCCCGAAGGATTTGGGATGAGTCTATCACGGCGTAGAGCTGTAGTAGGCTTTCTAAAATAACCTTAGTAGGATGAATCGTGCCGCTGCCAATCACAGATAGCTATGATTGAAATACGAGGTGGGCTTACTCAGGCGTTAGCGCCTTCACACTCGAGCCAGTGACCAATCCAAGGACCGCCCATGCAATTGAGCGCATCTCCGCAGCCAGATATGTACGTATACGTAAAGGTCAAGAGAAATGTAACAAATAATGGCCGAGCGAGAAAATAGGCCCGAGTTGTGTCCTACTTATGTATCTCTGCATAGCGGGCATCATCGCTAGTTCGGTAGTTTCCCTCAGGGGGCACCCAGTCGGATTGAAACCAATTCTGGAAAGTGATAAGCTTTATGAAATAGGACTCTGCTTCCATAGGTAACAGGAGTGACCTTGAGATAACGTGAAGGGGAATGAATTGGGGATGTTGAGGCAAACCACCACTGTCACTGCACTAATAATATCCACGCTCTAATGCTGCCTATTACGGAAGGTGTAGTAGGCATGAAGTCAACGCCAAGCAGACAAGCCAAAAACACATTGTATACGGGGTTGGGGTTGAGGTTGTATTGCAGCAGCCAAAGGAGGACATGATGGTGGAGATGATAGTGGTGGATGGGTGGATGATGACTTGGTCAATTGGTGTCACCGTGTTGAGCTGGATGAGCAGACATGATCAAAGGAACTGACTGCGCTAGCCCGCTAGCCGGCCTTTATAGGGCGGCACAGTGGAATACATGGACATGAATACCGGGTCTACTGGTACATGCTCTGAATGATCGGCCGTATAAGTACCAAGGTCGTTCCATTGGCTTCAAGCTCCCACGGGAACGCCCCGCCGAACCAGTGAGAAGCAGAGCATATTTGGTCGTCCAAACCGTTCCATGAGTAGAAATTACAATCTTTCTCGCTATCTGGATAAACTTTCAATTTTCTTTTCCCTTTTCTTCTTGCCATTCCTGGTCGTCAGTTCCTTGTCCATCTTCTGGTGATATACACTCTTGCTCCGCTGCCGCTATTATCTTGACTTTGCGTCCCTGATTCGCACAATCATAAATGCTCTAACTGTGCAACAGAACTAATGCCTTTCTACTTTCGATACAACTCACTACCCGACTATACCTAAGACTAGACTAGACGCGATTATCTAATTTAATAGAGGCAGCTGTACTAAGTAGGTATACTAAAGTGTGCGCTTCCGGAGCAGTTCTTATCTACGTATCTATGCTTTTATAGGATACCGTAAATAGTAACCTATTAACAAATACTTATAAAATATCTATAGAAAATAGAGTAAGATATTCGTGGTCGTCAAGAAACAATAACTAGAAAATTAAGGCAGCTGTGTAGTAAGCCTGAGTTATTCCCTCGGTGTCCGATTCGAGAAAGTCGTTATTAGTCTTTTGCCCGGTATATTAGGGTTTTATGTCACGGGCCAGTGCCCGATGTTGGTCACGTGTATCACGGGACCTTAGTATGTTGACGTGGGGAACGCGCGGGATTAACTTCCCCTCCTTAAGCTTTTTGTAAACAGCATGTTGGCCTAGTTAGATTGAATCTAAGTCTTGCTTCAGCCCTTCACATTTTATATACAACAAAAAGAGATCTTCTAATTTTACTGCCTATTTCGCTCGGAAACAAGGTTCGTCTGACCTAAAGGAGGTAAAAGATATAATCTCTCTAAATATCTCGATTGTGTTAGGGGAGAGGTTATAGTAGCCTCCTTTCTTCCTTTCTTACTAGCTACTCGACAGAGGATAGCGTAGATAAAACAACTAAGGGGGATAAGAGGAGTTAGAGGTATATCTAAGAATTGTATATCGAGTGTAGAGTCTATAATAATAGCTTCGGAGAGAATACCTCTGTAAAAAGGGAATAATATAAAAAACCGCTTATTATCGTTAAGAATAACTTATAGCCGGAAATATATACGCGGTGATAACCTCTGATAGGAACGTGCTAAGGGCGAGATCCGCGAAGCCGCTCTTTACTTTGATTATCCTTATCAACGCTATCTTATAAATAGAAGATAATCCTTTATCACTAGAGGCGGCCTGAATTAGTTAGAAATTAATTATAGGCTCGGGATAGAGGCACTATTATAATAACTATACCGAAAGAAACACTAATATTATAATATAAGCTATAAGAGACTCGCTAAATACTATATCCGGGTTATAGAGTCTCCCCTAAAGTAACTGTAGTGCTATAGTGTAGTAATATAATATGTCGACATGAGTGGGTGCATAAGCCCATGCTATCGAACTTGACAGAATGCGACGGAACGTCCACGTGACGACGATCTTCAACGATTGACATCAACAGATTGCACACATGACGAAAGAGCTTCAACACTCTATATTTCTCTTGATTTCTATGAGATTCTAGTCTGACGTATTGCCTCGATTTCATGAAGTTATAAATACTGCCTGTTTTCCATGGCTAGTTGAATCAAGTTTAATGATTGTGATGAAGTTGGAGCATTCTTCTATCATAAGTTAACTTCCGATTCTGAGCCGAATCGTACGACCCTTTCGACCTGACCTATACGATTCTTCGCCAATCGTATACTGATTTGACCAACCGTGCACACTCGCTTGCTTGTGCACGCTGAAGGATTTATGCTGACCCCGTAAATCCGACATAATCCTAGAATATTATTTGACATTTAGATAGATCTAATGAGTAGATAAAAGGATTCAAAAGACCCGATCAAAAAATCTCAAGATTTCGGGTACTTAGGGGGGGGGAACGTATCAACTCGTCCCCCCCCCCCTTTGCCAAGACTTTTTTAGTATGGTCCCCCCCCCCCGGGGACGGGCCCGAATACCTTTAGGAATGTTGGAATGTTAGAATATTGTGGAATATACGGCGGTTGTTATGGCAACACTAACGACCCTCATTACCGCGGGTTGCAAAAATCACGCGGTTAAGGTCGAGGTGACATTCTAAAGTAACCGCAGGAGACGCTTATGCATAGTAGTATGTATACATAAGGGCTTGGCAGAGTTTATGCAAAGGTTGCAAGTACCTCTTGGGGGTGGATTGGCGCTAACCCGAAAGTGGTTTGTGTTGTAGTGCGAGTAACGTTCTTGTAGTGCCATTAACCTGACCCTAATTAAAACTTCAAGTCATTTCGTGGAAATCCAAAAATGGTAGGAACTAACCAAAAATTGCCAATTATGAAGGACACGCTATATGGTATCCATCGCATCATTAGGTTATCTTTACTTGACCTGCCCGCATGTGTGTGTTCCTAATTCTTGCCAGGATACACGCAGATCGGTACTGTTGCGGTTGATTCTGGCAGTTGATGGGTCCCGGACTGGTCTACCAAGAGACAGGTACCAACATTGGGCGAGGTGCACTATGTAGATCAATCTAAAATCCTCTACTCTATGAAATTTTACGGAATCGGCAAGAGAGTGGCCAAGGTAGGCAGCGCTAAAGGACATACCAGTCAGAACCTGCCTAAGTCAATGGGCGATGCAGCCGGCTGGCGGTGTGTGATCTTGTGCCTGGCCTGGGAAGAGTTCAGCCACTGGCCCGAATGGGGTAGACGATAAGAAAGTGATCAACGGTCAGCTAAGTACTTAATTTCTCAAAATAGCTGTTTGAATGACTTGATATGCCAGGGTAAGTGAAATTTGGTAATCTAAGGGAGCAATGTACTAATTCTTACCAAAAAAGGAAGGATCAATGGCGGATGGCTAGCAGTTCCACAGCATATATATTAATCTAGATATTCTCCAGGGTAGGATGTCTTTGTATCAACAGCATCTCGAAAAATACCATTGTCAGTCACACAACTCTTTTCACAATGCAACTCCTCTCTGCATCCTCACTCCTGGTCCTTGCAACTGCCGTCTCTGCGAAGTACTGGAACGTCAACATTTACAGCGACACTGCTTGTAAGAAATACATCTCATCCTGGAGCGACGGTAGCGACCCGTGGACATTCGGTTACAACTACGGCATTCACTGTGCAAAGGTTACCAATGGTCCCGATGGTGGATCCTGTCAGTTTTTTCAGGATGACGGGTGCTCACAGGACATTGGAAATGATGGCAGGGCGCAGGTTGGCGGCAAGGTCGTCACCGTGGGCTACCAGGAGATCAAGTGCTGGACTTGCAGGTCCTGGTAGACTACTCCACGCGAATTTGTGGGGATTAGTGCCGTATGTACCTTCATGGCAATGAATGAGCCGTGCTCATGATTGAGGTGAACTAATGAGATTTGCTACAGGGACGTATAATCAAATTCACAATCCATGACATACGGGCCGCAGAGAAAATCTTGGAAACCGCTGAAGAATCGGATGATGTCCACTTTTTTTGTAGTCTGATTTCAGAGCGCACAGCTATGATTTATCACTGGTTCCTTCAGCTAGCTTGAATCTGTTGCAGAACGCCAGTTTCTTTCTGCAAATATTCACCTGTGTCTCCTTGCTGTTTCGCACACTGACTACGGCACTACTTTCTATTATGTCCTGTGTCCAACACATTTTGTGCGGACAATCAACGCCTTGGAAACAAAACCCTCTGGAAATCTTTTATAATCCCTCTCGTAAATGATTCCCGTACTCCCACTTGTCGTCTCGATAGACTATCCCGCACTCTGTGTACGGCCTATCATAAGACTTATACCAGAACCTTGGAGATGTAGTGTTGCAAGATCCAAAGCGATTCTAGGTTCAGTGTCGCCCCATTGTCCATTCACTTCTCCAAAGTCCCTTCGAGCTCCGAAAATTAGCTTTAGGGGTAATTCGGATGGAGCCCAGCGACCAGCGCCCTTCACCCAGCCGGGGAAGCTGAGCGTGAACGATCGCTGATCGCTGCCGAGTCAGGGATTTGCATAGAGTCCGCCCCCACCTCAGCTGAGTCTTGGTTACTCCACCCAATAAGCCCGCTTTAATTATTTCTCACCGAGTCACCAGCAAGAACTAACATATCGTACGCCTGGCGCTTTCTCGCCCCAAAATCTCCATTTCCATCTCAAACGTCGTTTAAGTGTCGGTTAGCCATCCGCTCACAACAAGAAACCTTCCCGTTCTAAGTTATTACATTAATGAAAGATAATACATCTACTCAGTGTTATCGCTATGCTTAAAGTACGGAACCCATCCGATTTCGTTGTCGCCGCATACCTCCCGTCGTCCGCAGCCCAAGGGCCCATAGCTGACCAGCACGAGCACGAGCAGTAGGTCTAACCATGGGAATCGATATAACTGCCAAAGCTGCATCACAAACATGTTTTTATACCGGGTGTGGTCCTCGCGTTGGCGATATTTCAATGCGACAGTCCTAGTTTTTCTTTTCGTCTATCTGACCTGCACACCATCGAGGGCAAAATCATGGCCGAGGTCGTGGCCACGGAGACTAACGTCCAATCGGTCACAAAGCACCACTCACGATCGCATCCCACTCACTGTGATCCTAGCGGCCATCAAAAAAGATAATTTAACACTCCTAAACCAAGACTCCGGCCTAAGCCATGGCGACACGCAGATTGTCTACGTTGCTGACGATCCAAATGCCACCCACACCGTCCCAATCAACAAAGGCAACGAAGCCATGGTCTATCTTACCTACTTAATCGACCACTATGATTCCCTTCCAGATCTTATGGTCTTTATGCATGCCGGACGCACCTCCTGGCATAACAACATCCTCCTGCATCTGAAATCCTCCTCGCTCATCCAGCGCCTACGCAGACCGCACGTGCGCGATGCAGGCTTCGTTAATCTTCGCTGCGACGCTACAAATACGTGTACTGAAATCCAATATGCAGTTCACGGCCAGTATCCGGCGTCAGTTTTTACTAGGAAAGGCATAGACTACTTGCCCCAACTTGAGCTTGAATATGCCGAGTTTAATCGGTTGTGGGACGGGATTTTTCCCGGCCAGCCCGTGCCATCGGCGATCGGAACACACACCGGGGCGCAATTTGCGCTTACCCGTGACATAGCTCTGCGGGTGTCACTGGCAGAGCTGAAACGGCTACGACAGTGGATCGTCGATACGGATCTGACTTCGAAGAGTGCAGGGGCAGTGTTCGAGGTTGTTTGGCATATGCTTTTCCTAGGAACCCAGGCATCCGTGATTTGCCCTGCGCCGCTGGAGTGTTATTGCGCGCTTTATGAGATCTGTATCCAGGCTGTCAACAAGGATGCGGATCGCCTGCTGGATGATGTGTCCCAGGAGGGATATCGTGCTTACGAGATGGGCCGTGATCTAGGTCGAATACAGCGTCTTATAGGACAGAGCCCGAGTGATGAGCGTGATGGTGAGCTAGAGAGCATCTCGGGAAGTCGTATCGGGCCTGATTTAGCGGGGCTTTCGAAGTATACTGCTGATATAGATATGTACATTGCGAAGACAACTGAACGTTTAAATCGAATAGTCAAGGAGGCGGATGCTGCTGGACTGTGACATTGACATATCACCGCGAGATGCACATTTAGTCGTCGAACATTATATCTTGCGGGCAGAGCTTAAATCACAACTTGTAGCCTAGAGCGTATGAATCGAGCATTCCTCGAAGTGCAACTATGGTCGGCCAGAAGTCTCAATCTATGCGTTATCGGGTACTTTGTGTGAAAGGCTGTCATGTTCATAGTATAAGAACAGGAATTCTCCCTGACTTCAGGCGAAGACGATCGCAGTTGACGACTGCCCAGGTTCCATCCATAAGTTATCCCTAGATGACTGTTATAAAATTAACTATACTGAAGATTAAAATCAAACTCTAACCACAAAATTGAAGTCGGACTTTTTATGTCTATGGCGATGTTTTCGTTGGATGGAGGAATAAAAGGAGCAGGGTTGAGTTGAATAGCATAGCGCCATTGAATCTGCTAGGCATCGCTCGGCTCGCTGACCACATACACATTACCACGATCACCTTGGTCCATTTAAAGAATTGTTCTTTTCGGCATAATAGTCGTTGACACTCTTAATTTCCCGTTGTTTTGAACACCTAACCAGGCCCTTACAAATATTTCATATTTTACGGACCCTCGCTCCGCGAAATATGGAATATATTTTGTAAGGGGCCGGTTACATAGGTGCTGGGGTATGTTTCTTCACGTAATTTTCATATGACGATGTCCAGCTAACATGGCATTAGTGTCTCTCCAACAGGGGAAGGGCTTAGCTCCGATAACGAGTATATTTTCCTGTTCAGTATGGCAATCGAAAAATGCGCACTTCCTGAATTAAGCTTGACATCGATAAAGTAACAACAACTGAGTTTTATTCCTCATTTTCCATTTTTAGATCTTTGCCAGATTATGCCAAGACGCCCAGGCAGGAGGAGCAATTGAGTGACGTCATACGGTCTTCCGGGACCGTCGTCCATACGGAAGCTATCACGGGTACATAGTTAGATGTAGTACACATATATATCATGGAACACGTTCTGAACCGTCTTCCATGTATCCTAAGTTGTACTCATTATACCCCACAACAAGCAAGCAATGCGAATGGCAGCACGAAAAATACTGCAATAGTATGATCACTCACTCTGAAAAAGGTAGTCCGTAAGGCCCTATACAGAAATACCAGACGAGAGGGGCCCAAGCGCACTACCTCGGCTCAACTAAGTACTCATGGGATAGAGAATAATAAAGTGGGTGAGCTTATCCTCAACTGATGATTGATCCGATTGTAGAATAGATCTCTTTCAAATCTCAAAGGCGAACCACGCTGTCAAAACTCGCAATTACCTAATGTCAAATACAACTGTAACATGTGCTCTGCAGAAAGGTCCAACAAGAACAAGTGGGGCATGAATTAATATTGAAATTGCGAAACGTGCCCAATCATCTACCAAGAATCAATACCAAGACCGCCAAGCAGCAGGGATTGTTAGCAGGATAGGATTTAGACCCCAAAAGCACGCCCCATCACCTGTAGAATGACATTAACTATAAAGAGAGACCTTAGAAAGCTGTCCTAGCCCCCATTTCCGCGTCCTGCTGGTGAAAGCCTGATTCATTTTCATAATCCTTTTGACGCTGTCCTTGAGCCACTGGGGATTACAAAGCCAAAACATGCTTCTCCCATTTCTTTACCACGTCGCCAGTATTTTCATATTTGCTGGCCCAATTAAAGCCGCCACATGCTATAATCCCGACCGAACCGTAGCGTCAAACTCTGTGCCCTGCAGCAGCGATCAAACTACCTTTTGCTGCATGACGGGCGCGATCTGTCTCAGCACCGGCTATTGCCTCAGTGTGGCCACCCAGCCCTTAATGCTATATCGTGGATCCTGCACGAATTCTGAATGGGGAAGCTCCTGTGCTTATTACTGCGGTTCGTTGCTGTCAGTATCTAGAAAAAAAACCACCTGACTCATATATCGCGTATAGTGAATTATCAGACCGGTACAAACGCCCCAATTGTCAGCGTGGGACTGAATGACAACAGCCGGGCAATTTACTGCTGCGGCTATCAAAGCGAATATAGCAATGCTACTAGATGTTCTAATGGAGATGCTCCATTTGTGCTCGAGGATGGCAATATGATCTTTGGTCGGGCCGCGTTATTCAATGCTACGGCTAGTCGGCCCGATCCGTCCTCCACAAGTGCTTCAGTTGCGTCCATGACCGGGACCACTAATACCGCGGGCGGAAACGAAGAGTGCCACTCCCCCCACAGCAACAGCACGGCAATCGGGGTTGGCGTCGGCGTTCCACTGGGCGTTCTGGCTCTCTGTTCCTTGGCTTGGGCTCTTACTGAGCGACGACGAAGTAGGTCAAACCAACGGACCGATACTGGAGCCGCACAAGAGACTGGACGGGTGTATATGCCTCCGCGGCGAAAATGTGGTCCAACGGAATTGGACCATCCGACCAGTACGAACTCTGATTCCTTGGTCAACTCCCCTGTTGTGGAGATTATGGGATCTGAAGCACGACGAGAATAGAGTGATGCTTAGTTCGTCAAGACCCAAGTCAGGTAATTGTTTGAAGTTGATGTAATACATGTGTTGAGATCAATCAATACAATAGTAATTTCGTACATCTAATTTCATGCCTGCATCTCGGCCTATTCTTCGCAGGCTCATTTTTTAAAGTGGATATTTCCTGCTCCAGGTGTAATGCCTGCATTCGCGTCTGCATTTTTATACTTCGGTCGGGTTCAAGCTCGATATTGCACTTCAGGAAACAATTATGATAGTTATAAAGAAGCATTTGCTAAGCGGATTTGGCTCCACCCGTCTAAAATACTAGAACAAAAAAGTCTCCATGGCGGCAACGGTGGCTTCTAGCGGGGTTGGCTTCTTGGAGGGGAGACTTGGCCAGGGTTCACTGGGATATCAAGTACCGGACTTTGAGTCCAGGGCCGCATGAAAGCAGGACAGCGATGCTCTAGGGTAGACACAGCGGTCCCATAGTTTAAGCTACTCCAGGCATGGTTTAGTTACAGAAGCCCCATGCAAGATCAACAATGTAGCATTTCTAAGTACATATTATGATAATGGAGAGGAAAATATGTATTGAAGGCGGGAAAAAGCGAGGAGACCATATAAACAGAATACTTGAAGCAGGAGGCGTCACCATATTAATCACATATGAGCAGTCAAAGCTGGTTCACTACCTTTCAGAAACGGGCTGCGGTACTAAAAATGATCGAATAACCTTATATTAAGACGAATTTCAATTTAATTGTTGTTCAAGATGGGAGCGAGAACTGGATGAAGCAGTGTTCAAAAAGGCCATACGAATAGGCCGCTCTGGTTATGCATTATGTCTAACACGGCCGTTATTCTCAGCACACAGTATACGCAGTTCTGTCTATTCGAAGTTTCGATGGGGTAATTTCGTTATCAAGACGTAATCGTACCTAACATAAAGACTATGGAACGATTTCGATTTAAGAATTTTTGATCTTCTTTTCGCAAACAACATGTTTCAATCTCAATTACACATGGTTTTGGCTTGGTCCGTGGAACATGGATGGTATTCAAATCATTCCTCGGGGCCGTGCGTTCCATCCTACGAGAATGCGCTGGATGAAAAATCAGTGCCAGAACCGGAATAGTTTGGATCAGCCCATCTAGAACACCCAGGATTTGAATCACTCTCCCAAGGTGAAGACCATAGGCAAAGAGATGGTGGAGGAAGTGGCAATGGTGGTACGCGACCACGATATTCATCGTTGCCACACAGTATTAATTTAAAACAAGAGAGTGTAGTCTAGGACTCGATATACAAAATACATCACCACTGTCATCTGAAAGTCTCTATAGAGAGTAGGTCACTGGTGATCCGCTCAGCTTGAAGTATCCGGGCTGAAGAGTCTGGTAGACTCCACTGGGGTCATAGATACTGGCAATCTTCCGTAGGCGCTCTTTGTTGGCCTCTCCGTAACCTGCAATCGGGTCTTGGAACATGCTTGCGTAGTTCATGTAGATGTATTCGTTGTAAATACCCATGTCCTCGGCCTTTGCGATGACTTGGGTCAAGAAACTGTGAATCCACTCGTAGACTGTGTCATCGTCGGATTGATCATCCCACCAGAAAGCAACATGCATGAGATGGACGGGGCCCTTAGAAGCATCGAGTCCTAGAGCATTACCGCCATAATTGGTCATATTCTTCAGCATTGGAATGGTGATACCTTGATAGATAATCACGGGGTTAGCACCCTTGAGGTTTATCACCTGAGGGATCAATGAAATGAACAGATCCACGACCCAGTTGCTGAACTCCTCGTTGAGCTGCACGGCAATGGGCCAGTACACCTCGCGGTATCCGAACGGATTATCGGCTTCAAGGTACTTGACGTATTCGACAAGTGTTTTGGAGCTGGTAGAATCTGCGATCGCAGGGATGCTTCGGTACTGCTGGAAGATCACCGGGTCGGCAACATCCTCAACATATGTGAGCTCAGCCGTGGCGAGATTTGTGCCTTGGCTTTGGAGGAATGCCACGTATTGTTGAGCCTTGCCGTCTACTGTGGCGTTGTTCACGACGTTGATGAACGCGTTGACAACCTCGGTAAAGTAGTTCTCGGTAAAGATTCTGGCACCTCCACGCATCTTTGGGCACGGAATGGTGTAGAGATTGTACTTGGTGACCAGGCCAAAGTTGTTTCCACCACCACGAAGGGCCCAGTATAAGTCAGGCAAGACACTCTCACTTGCCGTGACGATGATACCCGTGGCAGTGACAACCTAGTAACTGTAAGTATCTAGATCCGTCAACGAAGTAGATGACAGATTGAGATTTGACTTACCTCAAAGCTCTGGACATTATCAAGGGCCCAACCATACAAATTGGAATGGTAGGAGATTCCGCCGCCCAACACAAAGCCACCGACACCGATGCTAGAAGCGCGACCACCAATAGTGGCTAGTCCGTACGGTTCCAATGCTGAGTATACTGACAGCCAGTTGTTACCAGGCTCGATTGAAGCGATCGACTTATCTCCATTGAGCGTGACCGCATTCATATCCTTGAACCAAATGCTGATTCCTCCAGCACTGCTTGAAGCTCCCGAAAACGCCGCATGGCCACCACTTCTGGCGGCAAACGGGCAGCCTGTCAAGCGAGACAGGAGAACGGCTATGCTAACTTGTGTGTTCACCGAGGGCCGGAAGACACAGTAGGGCTGAACTTCCTCCTGCTGCTCGGACCAGAAGGAATTGGTGAAATTGTTGTAGTGTGTCGTGTTTTGTGTGTTCAGTTTTTGAGATCCGAAAAGAAACTTCAAGCTGCCGCACTATATCACCGTCAAGTCAGCACATAGAGATGCAAGAGCGCAATGAGTTCAACTTTAATGGTTCCAACTTACCGCCGCAGCACATGCGCCTTCAGTTGACCGTGCTTGGATGCCACTGAATGACTTCAATGCAGGAATGCTCGACACGTCTACACCAAGCTGCTCAAGTCCCTCAGTGACATTGAAATTCGGTGATTCAATCACATCGGCATTCACGAGAGCTATCCCGCCAGCCGCGACTAGGGCGCCAAACAAGGACCAAGCACGCATAATTGCACGGTGTTGATTCCAAAAATGGTGAAGACGCCGTTCTAAGACAATCACATCCGCAGCCAGGAAAACGAAGAGCAAAAGACAAAAGAATGGAATGATCGCTTCTTAAATTGCCTGCGTTGGGTGGCCTAAGGGGCCTACGGCTTCGGTCGGATGAACCTCCGCTAACCGATCGCTAACCGATCGCTAACCGATCATACATTAATCAAATGGTGAATAGCTTCAGGGGTGTGAGCTAAGCTGCCATTCTAATTTAGGCCCATGACAAAATTGACTCGGATCTCTAAGCGAGGCGGCGGAACCCGACCGTGGAGATTCAAGCGAAGCACGAATTGATTGTTTGTTGTTGTTCGAAAAATCTAGCGTATTGGCTAGGACTGAAAGACACGCGCCAGCTTCATGATCCCTGTACTTTGTGCATTGGTACGGCGCACCCAATTAAAACCATCACCGTCAGTGGTGGAAATCTCGACTTGTCCCGATCTTTCACGCATCGGCTTCGCGCCCTTGTCCATGCCCACAATCTTGTTGTTCTGTATAAGTGCAGGGAACCCCTGTCCAAAACTCCTCGCTAACTTGTTGCGTACTCCGTCCGTGTTACAGTTTTGGCCCCATTGGCCCCAAAATCCTTAGAATTATGTTACATCGCGTCGTTTCGGTGACCTTTGTCGGCCCGTCTCGGTACCTACTACTTGTAATTGTCTTGTTGAGTATGCTGAGGGAATCTAGTGCCAGGGGAGGGCATTGTAACCATGCCGTGAGTGGCACGCCACCGCACAAGTCTATGCATGGAACCTCATACAGACTGTTTTCTCTGCATATGACCCTGGCAAGCCCAGGTTTTATAGCTCCGTTAGTCGTGTTAATTACCGACACGGGGCAACGAAGGATTTTTGACACGTGGGCCTAAGCCCACGAGTTCGGCTGCAGAATCGAGATATAGGCTGGGATTCCCATTCATGCTCAAAGGCATGGTAATGCCTTTCCATATGTACGGCGGACAGCCACTGCAAGCGTCGCGCACAAATTCACCCCGGCCTTTCGCAGCCGCGCAGTCGACAAGTGATGGGAGCGAACTCAGTCTCCACTAAAGGTACCTTTGGTCCAGAAACCATCAAAGGCACCGGCATTGCCCTGATCGTTCTCACTTCGCTCGTTGTAGTTACGCGCTTCGCTGGTTCAATTCGTCGATTCAAGGACATTAAGCCGGAGGATTGTTTTCTCCTTGTTGCTTACTTATTCTTTCTGACACTGGGCATCCTCTATGTCTATATTGCACCTGCTATTTTCCGACTGGCATCTCTCGAAGCTGGATTGATACCATATTATCCGACCGTTTTGGAGGACTCGATACGACTGCAGATTGTCTTTTTTGTCACAACTTCCTCGTTATGGATCTGTTTGTGGATGATTAAGTTCTCGCTGTTGTCGATGTACAAGCGACTCCTGGTTGGGAAAACGTATATTACCGTGTGGTGGATTATTACAGTTTCTTGCATCATGGTACGAGGATTTCAGTCCTTGATCTGCTACGTTCAATACTAAATCAACCCCAGCTCCTGATTGGCTGTATTCTGTCCTCCTGGTTCTCGTGTTCGAGTTTCCATGCATGGTTTACCGCAGGAGCATGCAGCACGCCGCGAGATCACCGCGCGGCCGTAATCAGTCTTTATTTTGCATATGCAGTAGACATCATAACTGACCTCGCAAGTGAGTGTTCATCTATAGGACATGTCAGAACCCCCTATAATTAATGTCATATTCCAGTCATGGCCCTGCCTATACGACTTATTTGGCATTTGAGAATGCAATTGAAGCAGAAATTGAGCATTGGTGGCCTATTTTGTTTTGGCTGGATCTGCATCATCATCGCAACAATTCGGGTCGTGCAGCTAGGGAGCGCTTCCAATGAATCTTCTAGTGGTACACCCGCCCCATCATGGTTGGCAATGTGGGGAATTATCGAAGCCTCAATTGGTATGTGTCTGCATGATGAATTCATTAGGCTCTGGGCCTTGATTACTGACTATTCTTATAGCTGTGATGATCGGCTGCTGCCCTGGCCTCTACCGTGTCGTCAAGTCTGTCATATCTCCATCGAAAACCTCGTACCAATATAACTCATACAACGCGCGTGGATGTGGTCTTAGTGGTATGCCGTCGCATAGATCAGGTGGTCTGAATATTGCTTTGACGGATATCTCGGGGAAAGATGGAGTGTTTCAGTCTGCCAGCGCCTACCGTTCCTCGAGTCCTTCTAGCAGTCAAGAGCAGTTGGCACATGGAAATGGTCGAGGGGTTATCCTCGTTAACCATGGGATTGAAGTCACGATTGGGGAACGGACACATGACTTCGAACGAATGGAATACAGGAAATCGGACCATTCTTTATAATATACGCATGAGATTACCGATAGAAGAACCACCTCTCATTTATCAGCTTTCGATACCCGCGATTTTATTCGGTCTTATGATAGCTAAAAGAATTATATCACTTCAAAAGGAATACCAAGACAATGTGGACATGAACCTCTAGAACATTTGTCTTGTTCTCATCTCAATTGGCAGGAAGCACATAAACAAAGCGGACAACCAGATTCCACCAGCTCCAAGCCAAAGTACACCGGACGTCCCCTCCGCGATAAATCTTTGACCAGCTATTGGGGCCACAACACTCGTTATACGCCCTAAGCAAGAGAGCATTCCACTCGCGCTTGCACGGTAAGTTGTATTGAACATTTCTGGGGCGGAGGCATACAGGACCGCGTTAAAGTACTGCATTGTCAGCTTTAGGTAGTCTGATAACTCTAAGGCCAGTGTCGCGGTAAGAGCTCCAAGTATTCCCGGCAGATAGATGTAAATGTATTGACGATAGGTCTCTGTCACGTTACCGCCGCTGCCATTGTCACGGAGCAATACGATTGGCAGGAATGAGCCCGCTAGAGTGAAGGACCAGTAATCACCCTCATTGACGTGAGAAGATAATATTCTAGTATATCAGGGATTGGCTTACCATATAGGCAATGGCCAGGAGAGCAAAAGTGAAACACTGAAGCTTGCATAGGAACAAACCACGTAGAAACCTGAATCTCTCAACCACACTTGATGTGGCCGCTTCAGGACTCTGATATGTATCAGCGTCTGAGTCAGTAAGCTGGAATTCCGCGAGGCTGGGTGTCGGCATAGGGGCTTTGTTAAACTTAGAAATCCTATGGAGTACGCCAATAGCATCTTGATCGCGACCCTGGCTGATCAGGAACTTCAGCGATTCATGGAAAGTAAATACTAGATAACGGGCAACAAACACAATAAATGTAATCGCTCCAATAGTAATCACTTCGTAACGCCAGCCCATATTACTCAAGACGGTGCAACATGCATCGTCCGGTTTAAGACCAGCAGAGTTACAAGCGGGCAATTCCACGTCGCATCTATACTTAGCAGCAGTGCCGAAGGCAATAGCGGATGCAACAACAATCCCTATAGGTTGCCAGATACCCAGTAAAGGAACGAGAAATCGACGATTCTATGGCAGAAACACCAGAGCTATGGCTGCGTCAATGGGAATGTTGTCCCCAAGCCCAATGGATGAGAGAAAGTAGACGGCACAAATTGCGGGGTAGTTTTTTTGGACCGCAGCCAGTAGTTGAATATTGCCGAGATCAGTTCCTTTGCACATATTCCTTTACGCATATGAGATAGTAAAAAACATCATACCAATAGCATTGCAAAGACAGAAGTGATCAGGCATGTTAGGTTGAAAGCCCATTTGCGACCAATTATATCCGTAACGATGCCAAACGAGAACCCTCCAATTCTAAGTGTACATTAGCAACGGGAATTCTAGAATCTGGTATCAATGAGAACTCACGCAAGCTCAAGTTGTACATTTCTATTTCGAATTCCGGCAAGCTAAGCAGGATCAGGACGGGGGCAACCTGGATGGGCAATAGGCAATAAAAAACCCTAACAAGGCTGACAGTTGTGTCGTCACACTAGATATAGAGTAGCAATCGAGGTAGACAGCCCGATATTTCGTTGCCTCAATACTGGGATTTCGGAATTTATGACGAAGGAGATAATTCATGAGGGAAGGAGGAGGGACAGTGCTTGGAATAGAGAGGTATGTGGCCAAGATGTCGCAAAATGCGCGAGAGTTTATCAATTCGGCTAGTCATAGATTTCCATGCGTTACGGAATCATAATTCTCAAGGCATTAACTCTGTCTATGTTTTATGTCTCTTTAGGGGCCTTTGTCGGGTTACGGGGCTCAGAGTTCTTTGGGGACATCTTGCTGTCTATACCGCAATGCTTCAATTGAAATAAGGCACCAAGAGTTGCGAACGCGCCCCGAATACTCAAGGAAAATAAATCTAATATATGTATCAGAGCTCTTTGGCGGGCTCTAGAGATATTTCTGTTGTAATTCGAGTTTCCTTTTATGTATTTTCTCCCTGTTAACCTGCAGACGAGGGCGCCCTTCTTTGCAGGGGGCTTTTCAACCCGCAGAACCACGAAACGAGCTATACTCCCTACCAAAGTTTCGCGGTTACACTTCTAGGTTTGATTGCTGTAGCGTACATCAATATTGCCTGTGCGGTGTTTGTTGGACTGAGTGAGTTCCAATACAAAAGAATCGTGCTTTCTAGTGGAAATACGCTGACCTATAGATAAAGGCTAGCCCTTTCCTCGGCATAGAGACTCTGCCTGTGCTGTGGCGGTATTGAAAGCAGATTGAGAAGCTCTTTTCCCACAACAGTATCCGCTGCAATTCAATTATCTTGATCGGATTTTGCACCCAATTAAGTCAAACTGTATCAGGTACTCTGCCGAAATCAAACAGAATCTATCCAATATGATAGCATAAGTGCAGCATTGTACAGTAGAATTCGAAAACAGATTCCCCTCCGAAGAGACACACTTTCTTTCCCAGCGTCCCACTTCCCTTGCACTAGGCTTGATTTGGTCAGTAAAAGTCCCACTAGCTCTTCTAAATGTATATCTGCAACGTTACCGTAATTACAGGTTCCGGCATTAGGTAGGGCTAGAAATTGGGTTCGAAAGCAGATTATCACCAGACCATCACAAACCGTTCCTTGGTCTTCGCACATTGACTTTTACTCGTGAATAAGCTTGCTGTTGGCAAGCCCCAGATTACCCGCCTACCCCACCATTGACACCAAATATACTCAACACATTGCATCAACAACTGACTCGACGTTTTCTTGGTGTAGATAGAAAGGGTCGTCTCACAGTCGCTTTCTGTCCCCCATTCTGTAACGCCACTCCACCCGCCGTCAACAGTCCGCAAGGTCCAAAACTTGCTACATGGCTTCAGCCTGGCTATTCGAGTTCCGGATGGATCTTAGTAGATCTTGGAGATCCTGGTCACTGGAGTGGCGTATCTTCTCAAGCAAAGCTGATACAGCACGACGGTATCATTGAGCTTCCTGCAGTTGATCTTCAAGTTGATCGCCGAATACCTCGGCCTCACCACCAATTGCGGTTCGATCTTCAGTAAAGTCAGATAAAACAAACAGGGACAGTGACGAAGTATGGACCAATTGTACCTGGTGGTTGATCCATTTTCGGGTTGTGATTCAGCTTGTACGAGTGTACGTGAACTCTTAAACTACTCTTGACTTGACTGACAGGCAGCATGAATGGAAGACAAAGAATATGATGTAGACTTCCCGGAATCTCCGCCCACTTGCGGTCACCAGCAAACTACTGGTTAACTAAGCAGGGCAGTAACCAGGTTACAGACGGGCTCACCCTTCGGTGCCTACCTCAGCTCCCCCCCCACGTGATGAAAAACGGGGCTCAGCCCACCCAAGATTTCATTAATTCTAAAGTAGTTTAGCGCGCCGTAAATTATTTCGTTCGCACAATGTTTTTGAAAGATTTGAACTAGTTCTATATCCCCCAAAACCAGTTCCACGATGGCCGACTATAACGAAGATACTTCCTGGCTCGCTACGAGCGAGTTAAGGATTGAGGATCTTGTTGATCTTGATCTTTATGATCACTCTGAAAGTTCTAGAGAAATCCAGGCCCCTCACATACGTGCTTACGATGAGTTGATGCTTAAGCGGAGGGCTACTCGTGTTGGTGCGCATGAAGAAGTAAGATATATATATTACCACCGCAAGTACTTTTGAACTACTTCTAAACTAGTTCTAGCACCCACCACTAACAATATTAACTAAATCCGGACGAATTTCTTCGTCTGCGCGTTATATTGAATATGTTGACTTTCTTCCTAAGTATCCACGCACGGATAGTGATAGGTATGCCTATATTGTCTATCTAGATACTTCTGATCCAGAGAAACTTCGAACAAAGGAGGTTTATGACCGAATGAGAGATGTAAGTATAGCTAGAACTAGTTATAAACTAGCTCCTTAATAACTTTACTTATAAGAATTATAGATTCAATACTATAAAAAGGTTGTTAGTACTTCGTAGGTTATCTATTCGTCTTATCTTAACTGCTAGACTCTTCGCACAGACCTTAGGTGTACTAGGGCTAAGGTTTGCTAATATCTTGGGTCTTAGCTACGTGATTTCTAATATAGCTATATAAATAAAGAGCTATGGGATAGTATCTAGGAGACCCGAGCTTCTATCGAGGACGCAAGAACTCTTACACATAGTTAGAGACAAGTAATTGCGTAAGCCCTTACTCTACTAGAACTAATTTAATAGCTCTCTAAACTAATTATAATTCTTCTTCTAGACTTATTGATACAGCGAAGAAGAGGTTTACCCAAAGGAAAGCCTGTCGTAGTTATACACAAATATACTATCTTGTGTTCCGCGAAGGGCGCCTAGTAAGTCTAAGAGACTAAATAAGTTCAGGAACTAGTTACTAACTAGTTTAGGATATCTATAGGGTTATTACCTATTTTCTTGCGTGTATCTACGGAAGATTTGTAGTATAGGATTATTACTACTTACCTATTATTAAGGAAGGTGTAGACTTCGAGTATATACGTTAGCTTTGCACGAATACCGCAGAATTTGCCTATAAGGACTACGCAGTAGTAGAGCAGTAAGTCTCGCGAAAAATAATATATAGTAAGCAAGCTAGAGCTAGTTCTGAACTAGTTTATAACTAATTCTATTAAGGCTAAGTTTATCCCTAAGGAGATGTGAAAGGCTGAAGCAAGACTTAGATTCAATCTAACTAGGCCAACATGCTGTTTACAAAAAGCTTGGAGAAGAGAAGGAGTGGATCAAGCGGAACAACAATAGAAGTAAGCAGACAGGGCGGTGGCAGAACGGAACGTGCGGGGAAGGCTATGTGGCAGGGCCACATAGTAAGAAGCGGGTCTAACCCGTGACATTACCCCCTCCTAGGTCAGAAGGGTGATCTGAGTCGTAACCGTCTGAATTCCAAAACGGCGACGAATCGGGGTCGTTTCGGGACTGGTCCGTTGCTGAATCTAAACTGAGGGATTTAGACCGTTTATTCGCGGCAAGTCGAAAAGGACACGCAGATATCCAGTGACTACATGCACCGCAGTAGTAGCAAAGCCCGTGCTTCGCGCGCTCGGCGATATTAGCGGGGTTATTAAAGCCTAGTGGGAGTGGCGGTTTTGATAGGCGCACGCGGTTTAATTTCACTCGAACTGGTGATGATTGGGCGGCGTTTATACGAACTGGGTCAAGGTCCATTAGGTCTAGCTGGCTTTGGCGAGTCTGAGTCTGGCGAGTTTGGTTCTGGCTAGTCTGGTTCTGGCTAGTCTGGTTCTGGCTAGTCTGGTTCTGGCGTTGGGTGACCGGGCGCTGCTGGCGGCGGTCATGACGTTGGAGTAGTTCTATATAATCATCGTATTCGAGATCGAATAGAGTGTCATACGACTGCTCAAGAATCTGGCGTAACGCGGGGCGTAGTCCGCGGTGTAGCGTAATCGTACGAAGTAGATCCTGCTGGTGAACCTTAGCTTCGTGCGATAGACGTTCGAATCGGGCGAGGTAGGCAACTAGGCTTTCGTCGTCTTTCTGGCGGATATTGGCGAATCGGAGAACTGCATCTTGTTTCTCACGAGGATTATGACAAAGACGTTCGAAATACTGGAAGACTGCTTCGGGTGTCGGGTTGGTTTCGCGAAGATGTAAGACTGAGGCTTGCTGGGGTGGCTCAAGGCGATCGTATACGTAGTCGAATGCTTGTTGACCGGCTAAGCCGTCCGACCGTAGCTTTGCTTGAACAGCTGGAAGCCACGTCTTTAGACTAAATGGTCGGCCGTCGAATCTAGGCGGGTCTGGTAGTCTGAAATGCGAGCGAGTAGGCGCGAGGGTCTCTAGCTGGCGTTGCTGGTCGACGAGTTGTTGCTGGAGTTGCTGAATTAAAGCAAAAAGGGGCTGGTTCTGGTCCATTTCGGCGGGGAATCGGGGGTCTGGCTAGGGGAAAACGAAATTCTGGCTGGCTGGCTAGTACGACTCGATCACGAGAAGGAAGCTTTTTGTATGTGAAAGGCTGAAGCAAGACTTAGATTCAATCTAACTAGGCCAACATGCTGTTTACAAAAAGCTTGGAGAAGAGAAGGAGTGGATCAAGCGGAACAACAATAGAAGTAAGCAGACAGGGCGGTGGCAGAACGGAACGTGCGGGGAAGGCTATGTGGCAGGGCCACATAGTAAGAAGCGGGTCTAACCCGTGACAGGAGAGGCTTAGTTAGTCCGGACTAAATATAAAGTTCGTTTTAAGATCTTCTAGCTAATCAATCTCTTAGAGAACCTATTCGTTATCTTCCTCTTATCTAGAATACATTGCTATATTCTACTACCGCTGAGCCGGCCGCTAAGATCGATATTAGGGGAGGTTCTTGAGCTAATTAAACGTATACAAAGTCCTAACCTTACAATAAGTAAGAACTAGCTATATTATTCTCGGAACTAGTTTACTAACTTCGTTCTAGGCCTCTTTCTGCGTAGTCCTAAACTTCGCGATTTCTGTAAGTTATACTATAGAGAAACTCTCTCTTAGATCTACGTAAGCTTTGCGAACTATAACTGTATTAGGGCGCTTATATTAAAGTAAAGGATACTAGCCTATCCTAAAGGCAGAGATCTTAAAGGAGTTTATTAGAAGTATACAAAGGATCCTGAATAGCGCGTAAGTTACTTCCTTAACTAGCTTATAACTAGCTACGAACTAATTTCTATCTAAGAATATACTCGGGGGATTTACAACGTTCCCTATAATAATAGAGTAATTATTCTATACGTATTAGACTCATAGATTAAGCTTCTTGTATCTGTTAAGTCTTTTGAGGTTGATATATTGTATAAACGTACGAAGGGTGAATTTAACGAAGTGATCTTTGCAATATTTTACGAGAAGTATAGAAAAGGTAAGTTAAAATCCTTAACTAGTTCCCTATAAACTAGAACTAATTATTATGTCTAGTTATTACTCTTATACGTACTTTTGTAAACCGGTAGGATAAATATACCTATAAGAAGCTTTTTAAGGTCCTCTTTGAGCGTGTAGAAATAGTGACTGGATTTCTAATCCGCTTCTATTATCTATATAGCGAAGGCTTAAGGGCAATTGTGATAGATATAGACTAAGGCTAGTTCGTTAGTAAGAAAGAGTATACCTTAATCTTACTAGGAGCTAGCTCTAAATTAGTTCTAGGTCTTAGTCTCTACCTTTAAAGGCGTGATCCAGAAAATCGAGAGTGGATATAGTAGTTACGTAATATTATCCTTTTCTGCTATATCCACTTTAAACGTATAGTACGAAAGATAGTTCCTTCTGAATTTAGGCGTGTTTATTCCTCTAGTCAAACACGTTTAAATAGTCTCCTTATAAGCCTAATAAGTAAGGAGTATTTTAAGTTAATCAACGTTATTAAAGGTAGGAAATATAGGTAAACTAGTTTTAAACTAGTTACTAACTAGCTCTTAGAGCTCGAACCACGCTTCTTTGACTAGGCTAAATATAAGGTATATAAGGTAATTGCAGTAGGTCTTTATAAGGCTTACTTACTAATAAGGCCTAAGTTCTAGGATAAAGTACAGAACTCTACTAATACGGTTAAGTAATTTTATAATAAATCCTACTCTATAGGAAAGTACAAGACGTTACTTAAGGTAATTTAAGGGTAAGTAAACTAATTCTAATTTACCTAGAATTAGTTCTTATAACTAAATTTTCTATAGATCTCGTATTCTAGATTAACGGGATATAGATCAGTATACTGCTCGCGAATAATATAATCTCCGATATAGATATCAGTCTGCTAATATAAGGTCACGTTACGCAAACTATATAACAAATAAACGTAAGTAAACTAGTTTATGTGATAAGAGAGCTAGTCCCTAAGTAATTTTCAATCTAGTTCGGTATACCGCACGTTAAGAGCAGCAATTGCAAGCTAGTCTTGAAGAAAGAAACGAACAATAATATTAGATTCTTGAGAGATCAAGCTCCTCAGGCTTTGTACGAAGAAGAAGAGGGTCTTATACTATAAGGTTAAGATCTCGGATACCTATATAAGCTTTACTACGTTGTGCGCTATCTCAAATCTTATCGCGAGCAAGGTATAAACTAGTTTAGGAGCGATAAGAATTAGTTCTACTTACACTAGATTATCTAGTTCTCTATTATCACGATCTCAACGAAGTCAATCATTCACTTCAACAATCTAGCCGCTAAGTTTACTAGTGCCTTCTATCGCATTACCGTAAGACTGATAATGTAAGCTTCTACTTAAAGAACTACTTACTAACTAGTTCGTATCTAGTTCTTTACTGTATAGTCTTATACGTCTCGCGACAGCAAATCATCAGGCAACCCTAGCTCGTCTATCTCTATAACTACTATCTCTAGTTTTATCGCTATTACCTATAGTTCCTTCAGTACTAGAGATCCTATTAGAGATCATCGCTGCACAACTCGAGGTATCTCGATATCTTTAGTCTTAAGCATAGCTGCAAGCAGCTGAGATTGAGCAACAGATGCGAAGGGAATTAGAAGAACTAGTTAGGAGCTAGTTCTTTTACTTCTATAAAGCCTTCTTCAACAGAAGACTTAGTGATATTAGAGTATTTATTCAATATGTTATTATAGACAAGGTTTTGTTTTATAGTTACTATATCAATTCAGAATTTCTTTACGTTTAAATTCAATAATAAAATCAAAGACAAAATCAAAGACAAAATCAAAGACAAAATCAAAGACAAAATCAAAGACAAGAACTAATTCCCTAGGTACTTGTCGACATGAGTGGGTGCATAAGCCCATGCTATCGAACTTGACAGAATGCGACGGAACGTCCACGTGACGACGATCTTCAACGATTGACATCAACAGATTGCACACATGACGAAAGAGCTTCAACACTCTATTTCTGCTGATTTCTATAAGATTCCACTCTGACGTATTGCCTCGATTTCATGAAGTTATAAATACTACCTGTTTTCTATAGCTAAATTGAATCAAGTCTGACACTCTTTTCATTCACATGAGAGACCAAGGCCTACCTGATAGTGTAGCTCTAGTCTAATACTGCATGCTGCCTACCTGACTACTATCAATCTAATACTGCCGACCCCCTCCCTCTATCGCCTGACCAACCGTGCACACTCGCTTGCTTGTGCACGCCGAAGGATTTATGCTGACCCCGTAAATCCGACAGTACTTAAGCTAGTTTAGCATAGAGTTTAGGCCTTATCAAGCTCCTCAATAATCTCCTTATCAACATCTATCTTATCCTCATCACGAGGATCAGCAAATAACTGCTAATGCTTATAGGTATCCTTAACCGATTTATAACAGCATTCTAGAACTAGTTAGTAAATAAATAAAACTAGTTATACTTAAGGTAAATCATTTAACTTACCCTTCTGCTTTCTATCAAGGATACACTGTTCACAAGGAATTGGGAGGCCCTTATCCTTAACTATCTTTTTCATTATAGTCACAAGAACCTATAGCTAGTTTAGTATAATGTAGAACTAGCTTAGATATATCAGAGACTTATTCAGAGTATAGACTTACACCTTTGCTATCCTTACAAAGCGGAAGGTCTAGTAACTTCGTATAATTATCTGTATGGCGGATATCGTAATCTGCGATTATTTGTATATAGAATACTATTTTTTATTAGTTATAGAACTAGTTATAGACTAGTTCTAGGACCTTATTACTCACCAATTGCTTTTGCCTCCTCAGGCTTGGTTAGGCGGCCGCCTCTTCAATCAATCTAGGCGGCCGCCTCTTTGACCTGAAGTTTTAAGGGTTATCTGAGTATGTATCTTTGCAATATGCTTACGTAGATAGTTCGTAGTTTGAAATTGATACTAGAAGTAGTAAGAATTAGTTTAGAGCTCTATAAAATTAGTTTATTTTAGGGACTTACCCTATTTGTATAACCTTGAACCCGGTAATACACCTTACTAATGAATAACTCCCTATTTCCATTTTCCTAGAAACTAGTTAGTAACTGGTTCTTAAGTAGTTCTGAAATTTCCTATATATTTAGTAGCAGGTTAGGCAGCTCAAGATTATCTTTTGAAAGCAACCGGTAGCGCTGGTACGCCGAATGCTTCTTTACCTAAGATATAGCGCTGTTGAATGAATAAGAGAGAGAAAGAAGGTGATTTAGAACGAGATAGTTCTTGTATAAATTCTAAGTTATCAGAGGATCTAAAGTAGCTTTATAATTAATTAACCCTCTAGTAGTTTTCGTGGTTAATAGCTACGTATAGTTCTAGTCGGTAGAGATAGTGAATCCTAAGGATGAAAGAAAGCTATCTTGTTGACTAATTAAACTATAGAACTGGTTTCTAGGTGCTGAAGACTAGTTTTCTTTATTGATTCAGTTCTTTGTTTGAATAGACGTAGAAAGTTCGGTAGCTTATAACCTTGCATTAATCTTTGTGGTTAATAGATACGTATGACTCTTAACTATAGAGATAGTGAATCCTGAGGATGAAAGAAAGCTATCTTGTTGACTAATTAAACTATAGAACTGGTTTTTAGGGGCTGAAGACTAGTTTCTTTTATTAATTTAGGTCTTTGTTTAAACAGACGTAGAGAGTTCGGTGGCTTACAACCTTGTATTAATCTTTGTAGTTAATGGATACGTATAACTCTTGACTATAGAGATAGTAAATCCCGAGGATAAAAGAAAGCTATTACGTTGACCAATTAAGCTATTGAACTAGTTTTTAGGAGCTGAAGACTAGTTTCTTTTATTAATTTAGTTCTTTGTTTGAACAGACGTGGAGAGTTCGGTGGCTTATAACCTTATATTGATCTTTGTGGTTGATAGATACGCGTAATTCTAGATTATAGAGATAGTAAATCCTGAGGATAAAAGGAAGGTATCCGGCAAGTTAATTAAATTAATGACTGAATAAGAACTAGTTCGTGACTAGTTCTGAGATATCAGTTTTGAACGCTATATTAAACTCCCTAAGGTATTAAGAATAATCAAAACTACTATACAACCTTGCCTATACAGAAAAAATCAACCTTGCCCGGAAAATCAAGAACTAGTTCGTGACTAGTTCGGTTTATACCTCGTTATCCTGTTAAGTAGGCTGCTAACGCGGTTTAGCAAACAGTTCGAAATGCTCGTAGGTAAGCTTCGAGTCCTTATAGCAGCACACTAGAACTAATTAGTAGCTAGTTTTTAATAGATTAGAGAGTAACTCACTCTTAGAATTATTTTTAACTCTATACTCCTCACAAGGAACCGAGTAGCTAAGCTCTCGAACCATTTTCTTTATCTGCGTTATATTAACCTAGAATTCGGAGGTCAGAGAACTAGTTCAGAGCTAGTTTAGTAAGAGTCAAAACTTACTATACTATTTTCCTTAATAGGGAGGGGGGGACAGTTATCATCGCTAGTATAAATAGCATTATATATATCTATAATATCCTTATAGAATACTATAATAAGTTAGTGAACTAGTTCTAGGAGTTTAGAACTAGTTCTACTTACGCTGTGCCTAGGAGATTTCTGCGATAGTAGAACGACTACCCTTAGCCTTAGTCTTAAGGGTGATTTCTGGGTGATTACAGCCGTAATACTTACGGAGGGTGTTAGTAGAGGAGAAGTAGTTCTGTAAAACTAGTTAGTAGCTAGTTTTATGATTTTGAGCAGGGATTTTCTAGAACTAGTTCTATAGCATCAGAACTAGCTCCAGAATTTTCAAGTCAGACTGATTTAGAAATTCTAGAGCTAGTTCTGATCCTATAGAACTAGTTCTGAATGATATAAAGTGAGAGAAGAGGTAAGAGTACTTACCGAGTTCTCACAGCCAGAGACACAGCAGTACCTCTCACCCACATAGAGGGAGGCCTTGCCCTGTAAGAGGTCAGTAACTAGGTCTGAAGGGGAGGGAGCTAGTTCTTACATCAGTAATAACAAGGTCTAGGAGGTTCAGCTCGGCCTTGGGCAGCTCTAAGTAGCGTACCTATTCAGCGATCTTTTTCAGGTCGCCTGCCATTTTGGCTGCCGGAAACTGGTTCTGAACTGGTTTTGAGGTTGATTTGAGTGGTAAATGTAAGCGTGGTGTGGTAGTATGTGAGGATCCAGGAATTTCGGTGCGGTGTATGAGTATGTAAGGGTGTAAGTTAGAAAGTGGGGCAGTGGAGAAAGGTGAGCTGAGCTTTGGGCCGAGTGCCAAGAAGGGTGAGCCGAGCTTTTTCCTAAGGGTGAGCCGACATGTACGCTCGGCAGTAACGTGATCCTCGCTTTTGCCGGAACCTGTAATTACGGTAACGTTGCAGATCTACGGAGTTACCAGAGATACATTTAGAAGAGCTAGTGGGACTTTTACTGACCAAATCAAGCCTAGTGCAAGGGAAGTGGGGCGCTGGGAAAGAAAGCGTGTCTTCTCGGAGGGGAATCTATTTTCGAATGCTACTGTATCGGACATCTTAGAAAGTAGTTGCCTTTGCTCAGGGAATATAGCCACGGCGGCCACCGCTAAGGACTGCTATTCCATTCCTGCGGCCATTGAAATCTATCGAGCAAATTTGTGCTACTCTGGCCAGCTATCTACTAGTCCAAAATTCTGCTGTGGCACATCAAAATATACAGGTAATACTTTGAATAGAGACCAGAATAGTCATCAATTATTTTTGGAGTACAGTACGAATGTTAGAAATGGATTTCAATAAAGGGCTATTGAACTTGAAATTCTAGAACAAAACTAGCCGGGCTTAGCCCAAAATAGGAAGTAAACCAACCAATAAGACCCTGGTGTAGTGGGGGAACCGCTGCCAGAATATCCTTTGAGTGCATACTGCCAACGACAGGCTTTCCTATTTGACTTGGTCGATTCCTTCTGTGAGGGCTCTCTTTCGGTATTGTCATGTTTTACTTGATTGTGTTGTTCGTCTTGTTTGCACCGTTTACACTGTTTGGCCTGTTTGTTCTGTTATCCCTGGCTAAGGCTTCATGTATGAGGATGAGAGGAAAAAGTGAAGGAAGGGGGGAACAACTATCTGTCAGTCTAGTCGATTTTTCGTCGCAATACATTCTTTTTCGGTTTTATAATGACTTTCCATTCTAGTCGGTCGTATCGTCTCTTCTTTTCTACCTGACGGTCTATAGTCCCATTGGCTAGTAGGCGGTTGAGGTTTTGTCGATTTACCCCGTCTTGGAGGCCTCCAGTCCACCACCGACTAAGCTGCTTGGGCTGGTTGTTTCTCGTGCCAGTTGCTTATCCCCTTCGTGCCTCGACCTGTCTGTTCTGATCAGACTGCCATTAGTGCACTCCCTTGTTTACTGGCTAGGCTTGATGGTTGTAATATTGCTTTCTATTCAACAGGTATTGCCTTGGTTTCGTTCGCCATTGTACTAACCCGTCCTATCATATCTATTCAGCATCTGAACAACAAAATCAATTGTATCCTGATCTGTTGGCAAGATTTGCAACTACGAGACTAACCATAATATCTCCTAGGGGGCTCCGGAGCGCAGCGTAGCAACCAGCCAACGAAGAGTAGTATAAAGTTTCAGGAGCCGGGCCGTATACTCTTTGCGTCGGCAATCACTAATTTGATCGTATAGATACTGCTAACCTTTAGTTGCATATCTTGTGCACTGCGCCGTTCCGGAGCACTACCCCAAGGACGTGATGTTAGCCTAACTGTTAAGCTTAGGAGAGGGCTTTTAGGAGTTTAACCTTAGTCTTCTTTCTCTGATTCTCTGTGCAAGCAATAGGAATATTGCGTCGTATCTCTTTTAGCGTGCCTGCTTCAAAGGGCTATATCGTATGCTTTTCCTCCGCTAGTAAAAGCGTACGCAATTTGTTTTCCTTCAGTATTATAGATCGAGCTGAAGACCTTAAATAAAAACTTTATAAAGAATTCGATAGTGCGGGGTCAGAGAAAATTTGTTAAGGAGAATTAGGGAGGATACTAGGCCTGGGCATGGGCCGGCCCATGGACAAAAACCTCGTGGGCCGACCCAAATGGGTCGGCCCATAAATGGGTCAGTCGGCCCACGATTTGGCCCATTTGGCCCATTTAGCCCCCAGATATGCATAATTAATATGCAAAATATCTAAAGTTACTAGCGTAATTTATAGCTGTCTCAATTCTTCGCCCTTAGCTATGGCAAATTACAGAATAGATTACGACTTACTTACTCCCGTCTAACTCAGAAATATGTAACTCTGTGTTGATGATTGAGTGTATCCTTCTGCTCTAAGTGTTAGTTTTTTGACATCTGGATGGATATCATTTATATCATTTTTTTTGTGTAGGGTTTTCAGTGTTATATAGCGGAGAATAGTCTAATTTATTTATAAAAGCCTTTTATTTCATAATCCTGGCGCAGGGAGTAGGTTAAATTCATTTTAAGGTACACGCAGAAGAGTGAGAAAAAAGTTGTAGATTCGATAAAAACCGGGGGGACGCCTTTACTCGAATTTCGAAGGCTAGTGGGCCGGCCCATGGGCCGGCCCATTAGACTAACTAATAAGAGATCGTTAAATATGGGGCTAGGAGATTAATTAGCCAATCATCGCGAAAGATATCAGACGCGTTATCTCGGGCTGTCCATATAGACCATATCTAGCATACTGCATTATCGTAAGTACTCAGGCTATCTGAAGACTGCAGTTTAACTGAAATATAGGGTTTACTCTCTCCTCTCTTATAGTGAACTATGATCTCTCTTTCATTTAGGATCATTAAGCTCTCTTACTAACTCTTATTATGTCTCAACTATCAGATATCTACTCAGTACCCCTTTCGGACAGTGGCGAGCTTGATGATTCGTCCTATCTTTTTTCCGAAAGTATCGCGCCCGAGCACTCTATAAGCCAAATAACTCCCCTTCCTCCGCCTCTTTCTGTTCCCCTATCTCTCAAGCGCTCTACAGATCCAGCGCAAACCTACGTTATATGCGAAGATATGAATAAAGAACAATTCGTCGATTGGTGGATTCAGACACAGAGCGGGCACTCTGAGCATCAATCTACTTTCTGGGATCGAAAGGGCCAGCGGGCAGGTATATGGGCTGACTTCGAACAGGTTGCCCATTTTGTTACTGGGCAACCTAAGGTGATGTGCAAGCACTGCGGAGCTATTTTGAATCATCCGAACTCTATAGTCTATACCAAAGCAGGGACAGCAGGGAAACAAGGAACGACTGCCCTACGAAGACACCTAGAACGGGCAATATGCAAAACAAAGGGCCACTCAAGCATCCGGCACCTACTACAGAAGCAGGCGAGTCCCTAGATCAACAGTTCTTAGATAGAAGCTAACTTTCCTGCTTATTAGGCAAAAACCGCACCAGAACCATTCAGTGAGACTCGTTGGGAACACCAACTAATCTCTACAATTACTACCCTACGGCTTCCCTTTGCGACTGTCGAACATCCTGAATTTCTCAAGCTTCTACAACTAGCCCAGAAAGCGCCAACCGCTATAAGCCTTCCCTCTCGAAGAACCTTACAACGTCGAATTCAAACAAAAGCACAAGATCAGCAGAAAGAGATACTTCGGAAGCTCCCGCCAAAGGCAAAGCTCTCAATAAGCTTAGATTGTTGGACTTCCCCCTTCCAACAGGCCTTTATGGCAGTGTCTGGTTATTTTATTGACGCTGATTGGGAATATCGGGAGGTTTTGCTAGGCTTTGAGCCTCTTACTGGTGTTCATACTGGGGCTTATTTAAGCACAGTAGTACTAAATCTGCTCGAAAAGTATGAGATTAAAGGGCGAGTATTAGCCGTTACAACCGACAATGCGTCTAATAATTCGACTCTTATCTTATCTCTGCAAGACTCTCTCCAATCTCAGGGCCTAGGCTCTGATACTCAGCTTATCCGAGTACCATGCCTCGCCCATGTGATCCAGTTAAGCCTAAAGCAGCTCCTTGGTCAACTAAAAGCCAACCCAGTGAATGAGAATATCGACACAGTCTGGTCTGAAGAGCATACGAAAATAGCTCGCCAAACAGCAAGGGAGTATAGCATAGCAAACACATTAAAAAAGGTTTAATCTTATTACTATTCTTTCTACCTATCGAATAAATACTAATTACACAATCTCTTACTAAGACCCGAAACCTCGCTATCTTTATCAATGCAAGCCCTCAGCGCCGCGAATCCTTCCAAAACCTCCAGTCAAATACACCTTTCTTCCCAATTCAGGACGTGCGGACACGCTAGAATTCGACATTCTTTATGCTCCGCCGGGCTAAGAAGCTACAACCTATCTTTGATACGTTCTGCTCTGAATTTCATCATACTCATCTTCGGGTTACATCGGATAAGTGGCGGCAGATTGATTACCTGATCTGTATCACTCAGCCTTTTTACAAATTCACCACTGCCCTCTCAAAGACTAAAGATGTGACGATTCATACTGTTTTCAGTATATATAATCGTCTTTTTGATCATCTAGAGAACCGTATTCGCCAGTTACAACGGAAGAAGATCGGATGGAAACAACAAATGCTTAAGGCTCTAAGATCAGCTGAAAGTAAGCTCAGAGACTACTACACGATAACTGACCTTGAGGGTCTTAGTGATATATATTCAACTGGGACTATTTTGGCGCCGCAGTATAAGCTTGAATTCTTCCAAACCCCAGATTGGCAGGATAATAAAAAAGACTTTGCTGCTCGATACAAACAAAGTCTCGAAGACCGAGTAAAACATTACGAAGATAGTGTTTATAGCTCTCTCTCCCGGGCTGGAGGTATACAAAGCGCGAAGCCTACGAGTGAGATTGATCTACTACTCGCTCGTGATAGTCGGCCTACTGCACCAGTCTCTGAGCTCACTCAGTATCTCAAGAGTGGTAAGTAGTTCTCGTATTATATATTCTTGAACCAAATTCTCTTTCTAATCTTAATTCATTAAGCAGGCACGGTATTAGTACCGCCGCGCGAATACTGGAGAGATCATGAGCACAGATTTCCAGTACTCGCAGCTCTCGCTCGAGATACCCTTTCTGTCCCAGCCACAGGCGCAGGCGTAGAGCGTCTCTTTAACTCTGCGCGCGATATCTGCCACTATCGTCGTGGCTCACTACAATCGAGTACTATCCAGGATCTAATGCTTCTTATGTGTGGCATTCGGTTTGATCTAGAAGAGGAGCAGCTTGCTTTCGTTCGAGAGTACGCAAGTGAGTCTGAGAGAGAGCTCCAACAAGAAGAGATAGATGAGCGTACGCAAGAGGATATTATAGAGATTAGTGACAATGAGGAGGGCCCTTCGCAATATAATTCGAAGAGGCGAAGGAGTATTGAGCCTGTGGAAGAGCTTACGGACGAGCCTGAGGAGGAGCCTACGCATGAAGGAGAGCCTGATTTGCCTGAGCAAAACACACAGCGCGTTTCAGGAAGAGTTCGAAAGCGTTCAAGGTTGTTAGATGGATATGAGATATAGTTTATTTCTGTAGTAATATTAAAACACCCCCTTTCAACTGAAGTATACTTAATCTTGTTACGGTAGCATTACAGCCAATAGTTCGCGTAAATTGCATAAGCTATGAAAGCCATATGCACACTGATTTTTGCCCTAAAATGGGTCAAATGGGCCAAATGGGCCGGCCCACGAATGGGCAGGAAATCGATTTTTCGGCCCATGGGCCTAAATGGGTTGACCCATTTGGGCCGGCCCATGGGTTCTGCCCAGGTCTAGAGGATACTAAGAAAACCAGGGATAGCAGCGAGGTAGGAAAGCTCTTTTTTCCTACCTATACAAGAAATTTCCTTTGTTTGCTCAACACTATACCCTCGCAGCAAACAAAGAACTAGCTATAGAGATTGTCAACATGAGTGGGTGCATAAGCCCCCAAGAGCTATCCAACTTGACAGAATGCGACGGAACGTACACGTGACGACGATCTTCAACGATTGACATCAACAGATTGCACACATGACGAAAGAGCTTCAACACTCTATATTTCTCCTGATTTCTATGAGATTCTATTCTGATGTATTGCCTCGATTTCATGAAGTTATAAATACTGCCCGTTTTCTATAGCTAAATTGAATCAAGTCTGACACTCTTTTTCATCCACATGAGAGATCAAGGCCTACCTGATAGTGTAGCTCTAGTCTAATACTGCATGTTGCCTACCTGACTACTACCTATCTAAGACTGCCGACCCCCCTTTCTTGTGGATAGTCATTCTTCCATGATTGTGGGTTCTTGGCTGAATCGCACAATCACGACCCGACCTGACCTGATCAAGAGAGAGTTCTAGGCCTACCTGATTGTATAGTAGTCTAATACTGCACGCTGCCTACCTGGCTACTATCAATCTAATACTGCCGACCCCCCTCCCTCTATCGCTTGACCTGACCTATACGATTCTTCGCCAATCGTATACTGATTTGACCGACCGTGCATATTTGCTTGCTTGTGCACGCAGAAGGATTTATGCTGACCCTGTAAATCCGACACTAGTTCACCTCCTTATAGACTAAATTATCTAAGAATCGGCAATAAGAATCCAAACAGGAGCTGCGTAGGCCTAGCCTTAAAGCCTACGAAGCCCTCCGCGCCCTACCTAGGAACGCAAGAAAGGTAGATAGAGCCTTCTTAAAGAGCGGAACAACCCTACCCCGAGGGGCCCGTATCCGCCGGTCGAGTCCTTCTAGTAACGACCGCAAAGCGTCGAGTGCGGCGGCGTATTAAAGAGAGATAGGCACAAGAGTAGGCAAAGGAGCGAACTGGCAAGCTAAATCAACAGTTAGTCAAAGCTCCAGAAAAGAAGGTGCTCCGGCTATTTGATTCCCTTTCGAAGCTATACACCTCGATTTTGATTCAAATACGATCAATACGCATTGCACTAAATCATTTCCTGTACAAAATCAAGGCGGTAGAATCAGATGAGTGTTACTACAGCGAGGGGTCTTAAACACCGAGATACATCTTGATGTAGTGCCCGTTGTACGCTGAATTGAGGCAGTCCTTCCTTAACAAGATCCGGATAACCGATCTTAGGAATTCGTCCGATTACGATACGATTGTATCGCACTCGCAGGCCACCCGCTACGTGGCCGAATTCATGCTTCAAACAGGCCTACTAGGGCAGTTCCGGCACGTTGAAATCGAGCTAGAGCCGCCGAATAGAGGCAACGAAAACGATCTACTAGGACGATCTGGTAACGGCACAGGGGGTGAAGACGCTAGGTAGGAGGAACGCCAAACCCACGGCCAACCGAGAGGTCGTGGAAGAATACATCCACATCACCAACGAACACCACCAATCGAGAACGAAGCGGGAGGATAGCACGAATGCTAGAGAGGGAAAGCAGAGATAGGGGTGCAGAGGAAACAGCAGGCCAATGTGAGGGCGATTTGAGGGATATATCGTGGGACTGAGGGCTTGGAGGGCGTTCTGATACTGTTTTGGACTGATTTTTGGGCTTTTTTACTTGGCAATACGCCGTTTTCCTTTGTATTTACTATTTCATGCGTGTGGGCTGGCGTTCGGATCACTCTTGCTTCCGCCGGAGGAAGCGCCTGCATAGCCATTACGCCACTAGTTAGGCTGCAACAGGTTAATAGAGTGTTGATTGATTGATTGATCAGACCCTCTACTTATTTGGGTGCCAGTCCGGACCCATGTATGGACACTTTTGCTGGCTGCTAGCCGCTCCTTGTTTCGAGCTACTGTCCCTATCTAATCCAAAAGGATATTCATGCTCGCTTGGCTTTAGAGAAGGACAACGCTGTTAGAAATAGATTGTGGGTCACGTGACCGCCAAAGCCGGCGGAGCGGCCCCACTCGTAGCTATCTAGACCTCCTCGCCCTTAGCAATTTTATCCTCCTTACACTCTCGTCAATCTTCCAGTGTGCACTGTAGCCTACCTTCAACAAACGCATGATCCGAGCCGTTTTATCCAACAAGCACACCCGTTCGTAGGTGACTCGCGGTCTTCACCACAATTTGACATTTTTCCTCTCGCCTTTGTTGAACTCGCAATTACGCGGTTTTTTATCCTCAAGACCCAGTTCATTTATTCTGGTCAAAGTAGTAAGGTATGCTATCAATCTTAGCCCGGTCCCTTCACCTAAATCGAGCAGACTCAAAATTGTGGTCTCTGCTGTAAGACCCTAGGGGACCCTTGAAGACCGAATCCAGAGAAATGGATAGGAGTACCATGTACACGTTCTGGGCGATGGGCGGGGTTTGGCATCTGTTTGAGCATTATAGATTTGCAGGGAACGAAACATTTCTCAAGGGCCAAGCTCTGCCTATCTATCCTCACAGGTATTGTCAAGGTTCACAAATTACGACCTTTGATCGAGAGAGGGATACCTAGTGACCGCGCCGTCGGCGTCCACAGAGAACGCTTACATCACCCTAGGCGGTGTTATGGAGCGATTGCAATTGGACTAACAGCCGATATTTAAGTATGTTGTCATTATTCTCGCATGTCGGTTTTTCTTACTCCCTCGCTAATGCGATTACAGTTCCTACGGGAGATCTTGACCAACTTCCTTAACGCCTCCACCATTACACCATTACCGGGTCCATATACCTCGTTTCGTTTCCACGGCAGAACCAATGCTTAGCAAAGTTCGCACACTATTCATTCCTAATTATTACGGTGGCATCCGTCAGTAGTGGGACAACCAGAATGAGGTATCGAATTCAAATTCTATGATCGATTCTATACTGGGATTGTATTCATTTGCCGTGACCTTGGCGTCTCTATCATATCATCACGTGAACTGTAAATCTACTTGGAGAAATTCAACTTCATTCTCTGTATTCCCATAACCCATAGCGTCGAACAATGCTCCTTCAAGCTGCCAGAGGCCCTCGGACCATGCTCAAATCCCTGAAACTACCGGCTCATCATATTACCACTCGAAAATTTACCATGCCGCCTAACAGAGGCAGAGAACCTGAAACTTTTCTTGTTGGCAAGTCTCCTTATTTCATGCCATTATCTTTGGCTAACCAATAGCAGGCTCCGACCCAGAGCCTTCATTTCGGTATTCAGCGCGCAGAGATGGCTATGGAACGAGCCAGAGCAATTACGGCGAAGATACGTACAGTTCGACCCAAACGCCCTCATCCATATCGCTGAAGAAGCTGATGGTCATGATGCGGTCTGTCTCGATTTATCAAGTTTACTGGAGGGGAACTTCAATAAAGCTTTTCTTGCGACAATGGAAGATGGGAGGCAGCTAGTCGTCATAACACCCAACCCCAAAGTACTTCAGAAACATGTGTAATACTATCAAAGTCCAGTAGGTAAGTAGAAGATCAAAAAAGCCGGACCTTCACAGATTCGGGACGCAATAGATTACTATTCAGGGCGATAGGCAGTACAACGAGCCTCACCTTCCCAAATCTCCAAACAATAGACATATGCTTTAGTATATCTCGCCTCATCACCTTAGACCAGCTTTAAAGTTCTCATCGCAAAGTATCTACCGCAGGCCCACTAGAAACTAATCTATCCCTATGTACAGTCCGCCGACAGAGACCCAGCCTACCGCAGGCCTCGTCCCGCTCCTGCCAGCTGAAACATCCACAGCAGCTACGCAGCCAAGGAGAGGATGAAGCGCAGGAAGCAGCAACGGCGCAAGACGCACGTCAGAGGTTTGTTCGCAGTGTCTTCGGCTTCCATTGGGTGGCTGGCGGTGGACGTGGGGACGGTGAATGCTGAGTGTCCTGGTGGCGGAGAGGAAGAGCGGAGGATGGCGGAGAGAGGTTTAGCGACGGGCATGGGGACTACTCGCTGGGCATTTTCACTGGCTGCGTGTCTTGTGTCTTGGTGTTCTGGTGTGGACGCCGGCCGTCGAAAAGGTCGACGCCGGAGACCTTGACGATGGCCTGCCACGCAGCTTCCTGGTTGGCACGATCGTGAAAGTGTGGGTGGCGCATCGGCTCGATTGGGCCGGTGACCTTCGTGGGCGCCGAGGCGAAGAATTGCCCTGAGACGTCGGTTCCAAACTCAGATGCCTGGAGGTACCGACGGGCGGCGGTCTCAGGAGTCTGGGTCATGCCAGGGATGAACTTCACCAGCGGAATCATCAGCCACTTCAAGGCCGGGCCAGCGTTACGCGCCACCTGGGTGTCGGGCGCGCTGCCGGGCGACACGGCGTATACGGCTATTCCGGAGGGTAGCCGGCGCGCCAGCGCCGCGACCCACCAAGCGATGATGAGCTTCGCGTCGGCATACGCCCGGTTGGGCGCGTACTTCACGTTCGGCCCATTGCGCAACAGGGCTTCAACAGCAGCAGTTCGGTCACCCTGGTGGTGTTTGGCCGCGAAGGCCGCCACGTCCGTGAAGCTGAACAGGGGCACGTCCCCTCGTGCAGGTTCCGCGCCGGCGATAACAATCCGCGCGTTGGGACTCAGCAGGTTGGCGCAGAGCAGCCCGACAGTCAGTTGATGATGGCCAATTAGCGGGGCTTGAGAAGCCTCGACGCCCGCTGTAGTGATCACGCGCTTGTTACCTCCTACCAACCCTGCATTGAGTAGTAGGAAATCAATCGGCCTACCTCGCTTGACGAGCTCGGCGAGGGCGGACTGAACACTGGGCGGCTTGTCCAGGTCCAGCTCCAGCGGCGTGAAGACCTGTCTCTTGGTCTCCACCGCGAGCTGAGCGGCCGTTTCCTGGACCCGAGCCAGGCTGCGCCCGGTGACGATGATCTCGCGCCAGCCGTCTCCGGCGAGAGCGCGGGCTGCCGCATGACCGAGCCCTGAGGTGGCGCCGGTGACGAGCGCGATCGAATGTTCCATGTGTATTCTCCTGGCGATGCCTTGGCAGTATTACTGGAAGTGAACGTCTGCTAGGTGATTGCTGCCATAGATGCTTCTGGCATTTGTCAAGAAAATACTATGCTCCCCGAAGAGCGGCGGCCTGGTCGTTTATGTAGAGCAAATTTGGGCCATGTTGGATACCGCCGTACTGTGGTAAGGTTGCGCACAGAAGGGGCTGCTTGGTCATTGTGGCTTTTGACATGTCATGCACGGGCCAGTCTTCGGGCGGCTTCAAGCCCACGAGCCCCACTTTCGTCCGGGTTCGGCCGAAGTTCCGAACTGATGCGCCCCAAGCTCGGCAAGCCGTCATAGCATCCCATCCTATACTCGCCATCTGCTCAGACACTCGCGGCCGCCAAGCCAGTACAGTCAAACAATACCACCATGTCAGAAAGCGTTTACCCAAAACCAATGCGCTTAGGCACGCGAAGCTGTGCCGAGTGCCGGAGGCGGAAAGTCCGATGCGTCTTCCTAGCTGCGCATCCGCCATGCTAGCAATGTGGCTTACGCGGCATCCCGTGCACCGCTCAGCAGCCAGCAGGGCAGGATATTGGGTTGTCGGGGGGCCTGTCATCCCTGGGAGAAGAGCAGCTGAAGGAGCGGCTCGCCGACATTGAAACCAACGTGCGTGACATCTGGGCTAGGCTGAGTTTGGCGGGCGCTTCTCCGTCGCTCACAGGGTTGCTGCCAGGGGCTCCATCCACGACATCTAGCGCGGAAAACCATGTTGGTGCCAAGCTGGAGTCGATGCTCGATGTCGGGAACGCGACCCACGCTACCACACCCGACGAGTCTGACATGGCGGATAGCGGCTTTGGCTTCCAAGACGCGCCGCTGCTCACCCTAGTGAAGGCGGCATGCATGACGGAAGAACTGCAGTTTGATCCCTCCGAGCCGTCGGCCAGAAGAAAGAAGGCCAGCGACGCCTTCCATCTGCCCGAGTTTCCGATGCTGCAGGACGACTATCTGTTGACGGTGCTTGCGGCGACGGAGCAATACTGGCCCATCTGGCCACCCTGGCAGTATGGCGCGCTACCTCCAACCATGCGCACTCTCCAGACCGGCGGAGTCAAGTTTGCCGCTCGGTTTCTGTCCAGCATGGCAAGGTCCAGTAGCCCTTGCATCGTGGCCAAGGCCTTGCTCTGGCTGTCACTGTGTATTCAACAGGCGCCAAAAACGCTACAGCTATCACAGTGTGATTTATCACAGGAGGCCCTTCTCTCCTCGTATATGCAAACAGCCGACAGCCTGCTAACGTTAGCGGCCGGCACGGGTGAGACGCTGCACGGGATCGAGGCCCGGGTCATCCAGCAGAAGCTTTACATAGACATGGGCTGGCCGCGCCAGGCCTGGCTCAGCGTCCGCCGCGCCGCCGATGGGGCGCTGCTCCTGCGTCTTCATCGCGCTCCAGACCACAAAGGAGGAGGAGGAGGAGGACGCGAGGCAGCCATCTGGACCGAAATCTGGCAGCTCGAGACCAGCTTTGCGCTGATCCTAGGCCTGCCGAGCACCATCCCCATACCAACCCCCAGCCTCGGCCCGCCGCTGCAGCGCGACCACGACGACGGCAGCAGCGGCTGCAACAGTCCGCTCCACACGCTCCAGCACAGAATGTGCAGCCTCGCCGCGTCCGTCGTGGCCAGGAACCAGAGACCGCAGCCGAGCTACCTCGTCACCGTGCAGATCGGCCACGAACTCGACGGGTGCCGGGCCCTCATGCCCGACAGCTGGTGGCACGAGCCGCCGCGGCTGGACCAGCCGTTTGCTCAGGTGTACGCCCAGCAGGCGACAAAGGTGCAGTATTTTCTCATTGCCAAGCTGCTACACTTGCCTTTTATGCTCAGCGCCGACGCCGGGTACGAGTACAGCCGCGCATCGGCCGTCGCCGCGTCGCGGGGCCTGATAGCCGCCTATCTCGGCCTGAGGAGCGGCGGCAGGGGCCTGTTTGTTGTGTGTGAGTCGCTCGATTTTCAGGCCTTTAGTGCCGGCATCACGCTGCTGATCCGCCTGCTGTCGCCTGCGTCCGGGGCAAGGCCTGGCGACGACGACAACAGCGGCGAGGATTGGCCGCTCATCGAGGCGTTGACTATGGGCCTGCGACGCACGGCAAGCCTGATGCGGTGTGGCGTTGCTAGCCAGGCCGCCGAGGTGCTTGGTCTCCTCACGCAGGCCGCGCGGGGCGTCTACGCCGGCCCGGACAGGTACGAAGTCGTCCTGCCGTACTTTGGCAAGATCACCATTGCCCTGTCGCGGGGCCCGAAGACGGCAGATCTGGAAGGATGGGACGAGTGCTGCCAGCAGCAGCAGCAGCCGGCGCCTCCTCCCTTTGGCACCGTCGAGTTTAGCGCGAACCCCTTCGATCTCGTCCACTTTTCTGGAGGTCTGGAAGGAGAGCTCGGCGGCGATTGGTCGTCTATGGTCGATGTCGATATCGGCTTGACTGGACGCAGACCTTTACCTTTGACAACAACAATAACCACCTGCCATGATATCCTATATTCACGTAACCCTATCCTATAGGGGTAAATGCATCTGTTAATGTGGGAAGGGTACATCGGGCGGTCAGCCAACGTTTGCCAGCTCTCTCGCCGCCTTCCTTATACGAATTTAGTTGATATCTTGATTGGTTGAATCGATGAGATCATATGGTTAACCAGATAATAAAACCGGGGCTGACGCCGCTCTAGAGTGTAGTAAAATTCCGGCTCCCCTCCGTCGTTATCTATTATGGTATTTGGACAGAGGCCCCCGTTCGAACAACGCTGAAACGTACCGTTTTCATTAAATCCAGCGTCAAAATTTGTTGTGTCAGGAGACAGATCTTCTATCGCTCTGTGTGCACCCATGAGCGTCAGCGAGTGGGTGGGTCGCAGCGTAGCGAAGGGCACGGATACCCCCCTACACGACCGGAATACCTTTAGGCGTGGGTTTTGCCTAGGCATTTGTGGGGCAAGAAGTAAGTCTCAGTCATAGTTCAAGCTAGCTGAACAGAAGTATGACTTACGGGGCAACGACATGATAGCTGGATGCCTATGTCGGGACCTGCCAAATGGGTCCAACGTCAAAGTAGAGACCAATTTAGCCAAAGGCAAGTGGTCGAAGATGGTGGATGATTGGGGATTTCGAGGAAATGTGGATCAAAATATCCGCGACTCAAGTCAGGTAGGTGCATTGATCGTCTCGCAAAAGAGAAGCAGATGAAGTATGAATGCCCCCAGCCTACTCCCCGGGTAAGCAACGGCGCATCTACCCCGGGGAAGACGGATACGGAAGTCTGGCGATCAATTCAAGATTGGATGAAATGAGCTGCAGACCAACCGGAAGATGGTGAAATGGCATCAGTGCGTACCTCCGAGTGATCAAACAGGATCCGTGCAGATTGGTACTGCTCGAAGTGTGCTTGAGTCGGACCGGGTCACTAGCGAAAGCGGTCGGTGCGACCGTAGCGCGTGGACATTTTGCCCTACCACAGTGTTTGCTCTGGTGGTACGAACTACAATCGAGGAGCCGCCAGTGCCAGTTCAGGCGCGCTGAGCGAAGTCTAGAACAGATCTGCAAGGAAGTGGCGCACTGATCGTCAGGTCAGTGCGCGTGGCCAAAGCTCACGAGTAAACTTTTGGTGGTAACATGGTTCATGTCATCTGTCTCCTTTATGCGCGTGTGTAAAATAGGCAGTAAGCTGGACGTTAATCAATAAAGCAAGAGATACATGAACCGCATTGAAGCAGGGTTACTAGCAGATGTAAGCTTTTAGCATGAACGGTCGCCCCATCATCTAGCGTTAATTCTAGGCCGTGCCTACTCAACGAAAGCTAGCGATGTATAACAGGAAGCGCTTGTGCCGCCTGCGTGATTCTAATTCTAGCAATAAACTGAGGGAACCGGAGTGCGCCTGGAACCAATCTACTACTAGAAAACTTTCCTAGCATTACTCCCCTGCCGTGCAGGATTTCGTGTCTCTACCTCGTCAGAAATAGTTTAAGGTGACTGAGAGGAGATGAGAGAATTGTTCGTCGCGCGACAAAACGAGCCAGGTAGGAACTAGTATGGAAATCAACAGGTTGTGATTGCTTGTGCTGAATGGATGTGCTCCTTGCATCATCCAGTGCCCGATTGTCTTGACGTATTTTATTGATAAACTAGGTAGCGAGTCATCACAGAAAAATGGTTAACTGAAGCGAGAACAGAGAGTCCTGAAAACAGATAGCGCTGAAGTGAAGCACAGTGGCGGCCGCCACAAGTTGCCTTTCCTTAAGAAAGGTACGCGAACCAAGCTCCATTCTCCTTACATGCTCTGATCCTAGTTTAAGATTATCATTATGCTCGAACTGAGGTCTACGTAGCTGATCTGTCCTTTGGGTGAACTAACAGGTTACCGCATATACCGCTCACTCTTGTGGTGCATGTAGCCGTCCGTTGACAGCCTGGCATGTGGGCTCACGCCGGGAGATCCCCGTCCGATAGTGGGGAACCTTGTCCAACGGGCTCACTGCAAGGTAGTCCTTTTTTCTCCCTGTGAATTCTGCCTGCGGCTCTTTATCGTTGCCGGCATTGGACCCGGCCACCAGCTTGATTGCCTGATTTCCTCCTTTTACCATATTCACCCTGCTTTGCCAAGCACTAATGATTCACTTGCACCACCCAGAGGTTATAGAGTGAACACCTGCATGCCATTTACAGTTCATACCGAAGGTCATTACGTAGAGCTACCTTCTTTGTTGTGGTGTATATGAACGCAAGTGGCTTGATGAGGAAATGAAGATATTTCGATAATACTGGATCGAACTGTAAGAGGCGCATATTATTCAATAAACTTACGGGCTAGATTACAGAGCAATTATATACCTTGCCTCGGTAATCTCCTGTGACCTCTTCATTCCCGGGGTACCTTTGATACTTCTCTTCTAATTTAGTAGAGGCACAACACTCAGGCTCTTATATTCATTTGCATACTCGAGGTACTCGCTCCATATATCCTTCAACTCAGTGCACTGACTTCACGTGTGCGATGAAGGCCTGAGATCAAAGCTAAATTACGTCTTCTCGTCCTAAACATCAATCATTTCCCCTGAATCAGTCTCAGTAGGCAATCAGATTGTTCTCAACAAAAGGGCAAAACGCGGACGTTTATGACGGTCTGGACGTTCATCTACGTCTGCTTTTGGAAAGTTACTCAAGTAAGTACGCGCTTATCAATTATACCCAAGCGCACCAGTAGGGGATTGACAATAATGTCACTGTTATTCACAGGTTCCATGAAAATGTACCGCTCAATGTCGCAGCAGCGGCCCTCAAAATCTACTGAGTTAGAAACCTGCGCACCAGTGAGGTCCTGGAGAACGAGGCTGCCAACACAGCCACGGCAAAGGTTGCCAATTTGGAAGCAGGAGAAGGATGTGTATTACTGGCAGCCCCGCTCCTCTCAAACCCAGTACCCCGGCCTTGAACTGCTCGACACACGCCTGAATGCTCTCCCGAAACTTTCTACCTGCGGTGAAGGCTCGTTACCAATTCAAGATCCAGCAGCCATGCTCCATGTCTATGAGAGGGCTTTTGAGAATCTTCAGCAGACCAATTGCCGTGTCCTTGCTAAGGCGTATATCAAGATGCTTGAGCCGAAAAAGCAGGCGAACTACCCGTATAATGGACGGAGGTCAGTCAGAGGAAGAAAAGTACAATTTGATCCGGAGGTAACAAAACCGCCCTGGTGGCCTTCTCGAGTGCGCCACCACGAGCCAGATCATCTCCCGAAAGTTGGTATGAGGGCATTAAATCGTTATTCTAATATATGTAGCTAACCGTACAGAGCGTATTCGACTCCTTATTCACATCGTCCGCGAGCTGCACACGAGCCATGGGATAACCGTGGATAAACTCAAAGCGGCAGATCGGTCTATTCGAGATAAAATTCGACCAAGAAGCAGGCTCCTCTTTCTCGACGAAATTTACAAAGTAAGAGAAGCGGAAGAAAGATTGATCAGTAGGCAGACCGGTAACACTTTTCAACATAATGGTCATTCTTGAGACTAAGATTTTCTACATAGATAAGGGAACGGTCAAACAGCCTTCATATCCGGATGATTTTGTCGAAGTGAAATGGGCCAGTACTTCTGGACCCATCGGATGTGTGGCTAGTGACCAAAAGAGCAGCCAATCCATTAATCCTTTCGTTGGAGACTGGATACATACTCCGGGTGCGAACACTTCTCTTACGTCTGTCACATATTTTGGCAGTGTCACCTCGCAGCAAGGTGAAAATTGCCAAGACCACAGTCAATCATTCTCTTCTTCTGGCCAACGTACTATTCCTTTCCACGGTAAACACTCACATTGGGAGCCTGACCTCCTTGGCGCATCGTTGTCCATGGGAAATACCGATTGTATTTCTCAGTTCACGTATTGGGCTGAAGGTGCCAATGCTATCACCCAGAGCGAACAGTACAAAACCGCGAACCATGTCTCCGCTTCCAAACCAGCAGAGCACACCTCGACGGGAATAGGACGACTACCGCAAAGCAATACCATGCACCAGAATTGGATGTATGATTTTACGATATGACAAAGTGGAGGAAGGTATGATGAGGGAATATTTTGTTGCTCTGGTGAGCCGGGGTGCTTGGAATACGAATACTCAGGGTTGCGGATATCGATTTCATGTATGTCAAAACCGTATTTAGCCTGGCATGCAATACAGTAGAACATATATTGAGTTTATGATAACCTGTAATGTGGGGCGGGGCATTGAATAGAAGACACCTAGTCTAGTCGAATCTCTTTATGAATTCACGCTCAAAGGTTCTTACGCCACCCACAAGTTCTGGTATATCCTCTTGGCCTTTAGCAGTACTAAAGTACCATCGGAGAAAACTAGACCGCCGAATAAATCTAGGGATGTCGACCGATACGCTGGTGCTTAAAATGTCCTAGTGGCCGCTTAAGTCTTTATGAATCGACAAATCATGTGTTTCTTGCATGTGATCGCCACTACACGCAGACATTATGAAAAGTAAATCAGACTGCCAGAAGACTAAGTAGTCATTTCATTTCGTTCATCTCGGTGAGCTTTTTCAAAGCCCAGGAGCCTACAACCGGTACTGCGGGAGTTCGTTATCCTCGCATCAAATTTCATTTCACACCGACTTCGTGTTGTGACAGCTAATTACATGATGGAGGCTTTTGCTCTCCTCGGCTGATCTTCCACTGATGGAATCAGAAGTCACAGATATTTGACGAGCTTGTTGGAAAAAGAAGCAAGCTTAACAAGGAGCGAGGCAATTTCTCGACAAATTGTACAAAATGATATTGTATCGGGCAAAGCTGGGGACAAAAGTAATACCCAGGTCCTGTGTAAAGTAGTTCAGACTATCCAAGCCTCGCAGGTGAGCCCAACTTAGCCCACAATCAGGCCACTTCAGCAGGAATGAGCTACTAGGCACTGATCAAAGATCAAAATGAAAAGGGATAAATCTGCATCGTAAATGAGCTATAGATGGGTAGTAGGCGTGCACGCCATTCGTTCCTAATCTTTTTCTAGATCGACCTCTAACTCTGACCCCTTGTTTTCCCCTTTGACTCATAGTGAAAAGTACTTGGAAAGAAATCTTGATAGGACAACCCAACAATGCTACGCCGGCATGCATAGCGGATCAATCAGTATACCGAATGGATGGGATAGGGTCTATACCGCGAGCTACGTATGTGGGGGGGGGGCGGAACAAACGAGTTTCTGACATATAAATATTCTGCATTCTCCTAACTTTGTGTTTGCAAATAAATATTGCAGATTCGAAGCGGACAAAACCATAAGCGACAAGCTTTCGAACCCCAGATTCATATAATGGCCTTAGAAACGAATGTATTGGCTGTAAAAACAGGCCAGCAAGGAAAAGACAGGGACTTGGGGCCCGAATGGATTGAAGGTGACCAAGTGGGTTCCTGCTCCGCGGAAAATACGATAAGCATTTGCATTGAGTCCAGTAGTATAGACCAAATTCCTGCACACCACTATCGTCAATCGAACTCAGGAAGTAGTACCTTTCAATACTAACCATTTCACGGTAGATCGTAAGGCCAGTATCGATTCAACAGGCCGTTGGATACCATGGCGCATCCGCTTTGCAGTAGTCTAAAAACTGCTGCATGTTTTCACTGTTCTTGAGATAACAGTAATGTTCAGCTGCGCCATAGCAATAGCACATACTTGCGCCATTACTGATTTCAGCGCAGATCTCGGCAGTTTTCGAGTAGTCACCATCTTTATCTCCCTGAGGATTCTTGCACCGGTAGGCAGGATCACTGCAAGCGGAGACAGCAGCAGTAAATATAAACAGGGTAGGCAGAAGCTTCATGTTGAAAATAGTTGAAGATAACTGATGACCTTAGAAGGATAATGTGAATGGATATTTTCACCCGCGGTGTACTCTGTATCATACTCTGTATCTTGCTTTCTAAGACTGGGCCAGGCGGACGATTTTATAGTTATCCGTCCCATAAGAGAGCAAGGTTTTCCATCCTACGTACGCCTCGTTGCCTGGATAGGCGCAACAAGGCGCAACAAGCCAGCGTGCTGTTGAAATGCTCATAGTGCAGAGAAAGCCGTCAGAGGTGGTAGATGTGGCCCATTCCAGAAAATATGATAACGCATTCCCGTCGTGATCAGAACCATAAGGCGCGTTGTGACCCACATTTGCATGGTCATCTCATACATTGACGTCGAACGGCTCACATGGCGTGAAAGCTCTTGCGCCTGATTGACGTTGTGATGAAACCTAGATTCATCTAGTACCCCAGACAGCAGATTCCCAGCCTGATGGACACCTTCGCTCTCCTTCAATAGCAAGATTGTCAACCGCTATTCATTACAATGATTAGTGACCTTTAGAACAAGAGCGATGAGACCTGTGAGTAGAAAGTCTGCATGAGTCATCTTAGTCGCAGAAGACCAGGCCATACTCTAAGCCGAATGAAAAAAAAAAAACCCAAAAAAAAAACGTATGATTGACATGATCCAACCATCGGCAAAAGGCCAGATTGTCTAAGTAGCCGGCTCCGCCGGAAGAAGATCGCACCTGAAAACTTTGAAGGGACGGTGGAATATCAATGGCGTACCGTACGCGACAGAGACGACCGTTAGACTGTTGCCTCGTGAGTGTAATCCGTGACGTGAATGTCACACGACACTAGGAAAGATCTTAAATTGCGGGGTCATATTCCTCATTCCGGCGTTGGATCGGGCCGTCGGGCTTCATTGTTGGCCGAAAGCGGGACCCCTTAATTTGGTCGGGAGGCACGGGGCGGGCTCCCCACATTACCGCCCGATTCCACAACCCACGAGCCTGTAACCAGGTCCACAAGTCACCAGAGGACGCAAAGGCAGGGTAACATCACTGCACTACCTGACATTAGAAAATAGGTCTTCAGTAGATTTTACGACGGCAAAAGTATGATGGCAGCGTTCTTGGACAGTCATAGATAATTTTCCTCGATAGGACAAACAGACAAATGCTGGTATCTTCGAGCGGTCCAGAACATATGTAATCATTCACGCACGAGCCTGGACCAACACATGAAGGCCAAGGAGAAGGAAGCTTCACGAGGGGTGATGATTTCCAGCCACCGCATTGTCTCGATGTACCCTGCGAACGTGTTCCTTCATATTGTCACGTCGGTTGAACCACTTTTGGCAACCAAAGACAGGACAAAAGTGAATGTCCGTGCAAATATGCACTGCCTTCAAGTGTCTTAGTAAATCAGTTTCTCTCCCAAAGGTACCTGCGTATCTGCATCCTTCCCACCTACACCTGAGCTCTGCAGCATGACTTCCGAATACAATATATAGATATTTAGATAAAGCTACCATGGCAACATGGAGAAGAGAGGCGCTAGCTCACCTTTTTACACTGTCTTCAAGATATGACTCTCTTCGGGACTTGTCATTGCTATAGCCCGAAATCTGGTTTGAGAAAGCCATTGCAAAATCCACTTGAGACTCTTCGTGGACCTGGTGGTTGGCAGTCCGTTCTATCCCGTCATCGGTAATGTTCTTATTGAACCCATACATAGAGCTAAGGCAATCAGTATGCTGTGTTGTAGGTCCATGGATACTTTGTGAATGGAGGTCGTCGATTGATCGGAAATGCGACAGATCATTGAAGGAGAACTCGGCGTCCATATTGCTAGGGTACGGAGACAAGGTGGCGGCTGAATTCCAGGATTTATCTCTTAGAAAACATTGAGAGGCGTCCGCTACTGTCGAATTACCCAGCAACATGTCCAATTCTGCTAGATTGAAGGACGTGTGATCAGGAATGTATCGACCAGGCTGCAAGTGTGTCTGATGCAAAGCAGACATCTTGCCGGTAGGTAGGTGAAATACTATAATAAGCCGAGAAACCTAGGAAAAGCTGTAGTTCTTATGCATGCGTATCATGTTAATCTGCTTAAATGAGATTCCTTTTTACAAAAATCCTGATTATGGCCCGATATTCCCCAATACGGGTACTTAGAGTCATTTTCGAATTGCACCTATGACCAAGGAGCTAAAAATGCAGTTTATGGCTCTATATCAACTAGTAAAAAGCCACTAGTGACGTATTACACTGATCTCACTACCTATAGAGAAATTCATCTTGAGAATGGAACCAAGCTTCCGTTCATGCTGTTCCAAGTTCCTATGATAGGAGACGCTACATCGATTGACCTAACCTTAATACTCTGTTGACTAGATCGAATTCTCTATATTTGCAATGGTCAGACAAGATGTAATGGGATTTCAGTTGAATGAATTGATCAGTAAAAAACAGGAAGCCCTATTGGAAGAATTGTGGATATCAGCAAGGATGAAACTAGATGTTCCTGTACCATCACAGCAGGGCAAACACAATAGTGTGTATAGTCATTGGTAATCGACTCCTTCCGCAAAGCTTTTTTTTTTTTCAGTAAGTTTTATGCCTCGTACTTGCGCCGCCCGCCGTGTGCCTTATTCTATTTCCGTTCCAACAAATCAAGTTGAAAGAAGCGCCACCCACGTACTACAACCTACATCCTCTAATTACATACTATTCCAATTTCGCAATATTTCTTAACTGCGAAAGAAATGGACTATTCCTCTATCAGCAGGAGCTGAGGCTTCGCCTGGTTGCCTGATTTTGTATCATTCTGATCTGATTGTCTGTCACGTTTTCCATTGGGATATCCAGGCTCGTGGTTTGCTTTCAAGGCGTCAGTCTCGGTCACTTCCTTGGTAGGTGTTCCTTTTATGTGGCGAACTTTGTCTATCCTTAGTGGAACCTGAAACTATAAAGGTATGTAGGCAGTCCTTCTCTCAGTCTGCCAACTCGTTAACTTCATTCATTATTCAGAAAAGCCAATCTGAGTCAACAATCCAAGTAAGTTCTATTTTGAAGGCAAGAACAACATGTCTGGTTACGTCGAAGGTGACTAGGTTTCTACACCTGTGGTACTCTCTGATTCTAACATCCGAACTACTAGGCGCTGTTGTGAAGCTTAGCCAGCCAGCAAATGGCATTTATTACGCCACACAGATATCTGATGCGGAAGCTGTTGCATCTTCTCTTAAAGCTGTATCCCTACAGCCTGAAGTCCGTATTAACTTCGGACCAGTCAGCTTTTTTGGAGTTCTCACAGTAAGGATTCAACCAAACTCATTGTAAACACTGCAATATCTGGTCTTTTATCTTACACCATGCTACTTGATAGGTCTCTGGCTACGTTGATACGAGCACATACGAAGCCTCCGTGTCAGTCTCTGTACTCGGAATTAGCCTCGGCACTCTGACCGGAAGCCTCAAGACTGGTATCTCAGTTCAGGTTAACCTAATTGCTGTTAAAGGCGAAATACGCTTTTACCTGAAGAATACCAATGAACTCTGGGTGCACTTTGATCTCAGCGTGATTTTTGATGGGACATACACGGATGATGTTAAGATAATCACTCTGTAGTGGTGGCACTGGTTTGAACCGGGGTGTGACAGGGGAATTGTATAGTATGTTCTCTGTTTCGTTTGACTCTAAAATGGGCCTCAGTATAGGTTTTTTCCCTTGATCTGTTAGGTTTTCCCTATACTCTAATGCAAATGCAGGGGTCCGTTCCTTTTGCTGTGGTAATCAATCGAAGCATGTTTCATTTTCCACGCCAAGTATATCCCCACGATCTAGTGGTGTGCAGAATTTGCATATCAGCAAGGCATGATGAAGTATCCTATCTTGTAGTAACAAGTACTCGCCTAGGGCTCGTCGACATGGTATTGTATAGTCATTACTCTCTGTTCTCAGTGAACTCTAACATCGCGTACCTAGAGCTTTGTATTATTGGACCACAACGAGGCCTGACTCGTCTATTAATCGAACTAGATAGCTTTCCGCAACAGGCATCTCATAGATACAACATGTATTGCGAGCACCGAGAACGGACTCCAAAACAACCTCAATCCGATTAGCCTTTTGAGAACAAGCTTTAAGATATTCGCATGTTAAACTAACCCACCGTGCTACTTGGTATACGTGGCTAGGTTGTAAACTTATTTAGTCTCCAAAGTTTCCGCCGTACGCCTCAGAAAGCAGCGCAAGACATGCCCGAAAACTTGCTATTAAAGCTTCAGGAGTGGAGCTCACCGGACCCAAACTTGGTGAATGAATCAAATGGAGCCTTTATCAGTCCCAAATTCCGCAAAGCTCTACATCGTCGCGTCATGTCCAGATGGTGGCTTGAAATCAAGGATTGAAGCGTCAGGACTCTTCATAGTAGCGGATACATTACGCCTGGCAAGGCGCAAAATGAGAGCCTAACCGTTCATTGATGTATTGATTTTTGATCCTTGGCGCAAATTTCCTAGTGATTTTCTACAAATCTGATGTTATTGTTCAACTGCCATCGTCGATGTATGGTTCGCAATGTGCGGTATACTCCTGCATCCGGGCTTGTCCTGGCTTTATTTTGTCCGTATGGTTTTCAATCTGAACAAATATACTAATTGTAAGATTATGTTTCAGAAATTACTACATGAGACTCTCCGTTCCAGGCCTTTGTTTAAAAATATATCTAGCCAGTCTAGGACCGGTCCCCATCAATATCAATCAAATCCGGTTCTTTTACCCTTGAAAAGGTTTGTTTATCCTCCGTACAATCTTGAATCAATCACGCGCGGCCACCCTCATTCTTCAACCAATGCTCCAGCCAATGTGCCCTAGCAGCATTTTGCTGCCTTTTTTAGTGTTCGGACTGCTAGCTGCGGGTGCGAACATCCGAGGCCGAGGTCAGTGGAACTTTAAACTTGTTTCCCGGAAAAAATATACGATATATGCGAGATCTAATTGGATATTGTCTTCCCGGTCTCATCTCAGACCGCTTCTATAGATGTCGCTGTATTTACAATACAATAATCAGACCACGACTGATGTATATAACAGAAACTGCCATACACGCGCTACTAAAGTCTATAACCCCCGAATTGACAACCCTTTTCTGCTATTAATTCTGCTATACTAAAGCATCTAAAAAAGCATGATCAAGTTCAGTTAGTAATAAAAGCTTAGTATAGCAGCTATAAGCTGCAATAATTGCCTCAAGAATAATGTATACAGCGAGATACACGACTACACTGTACGTGATTAGGGAATTTGGTAGGTTATAATAGGAAGGTGGTGCTGCTGATGATTAATCTAGGGGCCTGAGGCTTTAGTAACACTACTGAACCTATAACTAGGGGCTCCTTCGGTCCTCCCCTTTTTTCGTCACCCAAGAACTTCACTACAACCCGCAGTTACAAGCCTTTCAACTTTAATATCCCTACTTCAAGTTGATATGGTTACAAGACTCTCTCCTGCAAAGCTTATTTTTATACGTGATAAGATAGAGAGCCGCTCCACGATGTCGGAGGGGGTGAAAAGACAGATAGACAAAAGACAGGAAACCACCTATGTAGTACCTCTTGCAGACCACCTAGGCAGAACAGTCTCCAACGGATAGGATCAGGGGAAAAAAACAAGCCAGGAAGCAAACAGATATTCTCCAGATAACTATCTAGTACGGAGCCAAATCTGTTCGTAGTCAAAATGCCACCCTCTCTGATAATACTCAGTATAGTAGGTTGAAGATACCAAGTGTACCGATAGAGTCATCTCCTAGCACGTATACGAATAAGAATAGGCTGTGCATCTTTCAAAGGTACAGCACACCGTTGAACAAAGGTTACTAGAATATCTTGTCGCTCTTCGAACATCCATCTCAATATATCGAATATCTAAGCTGCCGAAGATTGCTTTGAAGCAAGGGTGCCTATAGAGATCCTCTGCTGGAGGGTAGGACTGCTCTGTTCCATCCATTTTCGGGGTCATAGATCCCAGAAAGTCCAAGCAATTCCTCATACTTCTCGAGCTCTAGAGCGAGGAACGAAATCTTTGTGATCTATTCCGAGATCGTTTTTTCGATTTCGGAAGTAAGTTAGGTAAATATTACTTTACTTATTCCGTAGTCAATAAAGTCGACAAAGTCTATAATAATAAGGTCCTTGTGTTCTAGTTTTTTTGGAGGATAACGGGATTCAAATCCTGCTAGTAAAGTGGGGTACACGATTAGCATCGCCTTAGGGGGCCCTGCTTCTGCAGCCACAAGTGATAGGATAGCCTTAAACGCAAACCAGAAATTATAAGTGTTTTCCTTGCTTCGCGGTGGGATTTCCTGGGTGACTCTTGTGATATATAGAACCTCGTCTAAGGTAGATATTTAGTTATCAACTATCCTTTTTAACCGCTCTGGACTAAGCTCCGTCGTTATATAAGCAATTCGCTGCCCAATCCTTTAACTATATCGAATTCCCTGCCTTATCTAAACTTCTTCTCTTTGCTTAGAAAATACTTCTAGTTCCTTTCGAGCCTTTTTCAAATCGCGCTCTACTATTAAAGATAACGATTAAGCGAGCGTGACTAAGCTAAGTGAGTAGGACGTAATAACTTAATAGTGCTATTGTAAAAGTTTGCCGAAATTGACTCTCCAGTCTACTGTTACGGGCTATCGTTTCCTTCCTTTCCTCTTAGCTAGTACCTAGCTAGTGACAATATCCTTATACAGTGCTTTTGCAAGCAAGCTATTCTACGGGTAGGTCTTGTCGTGGTGTCGAATTCTAGCGTCGGCGAATAGCGACTCCTAGTATCTTGATTCGTCACAGAATACAACAGCAAGTGCCGGGCTTACAGGAAGAATAACGTGTATTATATTATCTATGGTCATCTATATAAGCTAAGGCCTGTAGTCGGTTATTTCTGCTCCCAGGAACGATTAAGTATCGCCCTTAAAGCCATAGAGACTCCTATTAAGAAAGAACTCGTAGCTATCCGCTGCGTACCAGACCTAAAGGGCGTAATTCTCGACGACGTACTTATAGGTCCGCGCACTAATTAGAAATGCTATCACTAGGGTACTCTGTATCTGCAAGAAGGTCCTCGTAACTCGCTTTCAGTAACTCGCTTTCAAAAGATACAGTATTTGCTTAAGCTAGACTTCTCCTGGATCGCTGGATCGACCCTCTTTTCGCGATACCTTAAAGAGGCGCTAGAACATAAAATTATTTTTACGGTATAGATTTTGCATTATATCTCGGTAATGCTTAGAGCGTCGGAAGGAGAGGATTATAAACTTGAATAAAATGTGAATATCCTTCTCGAAGATATTGACATAGTCGAGTTTTTCCTTTGCAGCATTTCTGATCTTAATAAATATCTAGCTCGTCTGTCCCTCTAAGGCGCTAAAAAGATCCTCGATTCTCATATATTTCGGGTCATTCTCTATGTAATACAAGTTGTACATTCCGTATAACCTTTTGACCTCTTCGGTGATAAATTGTCCGGTTTGTAGGTCAAACAGGTTCAAAAGGCCATCACTGTTTCCGGAACTAGAGTTTTGTAAGCAGAAAGAAGTCCCCAAGCTTTCTGAAATGATTTAAGGTCAAACCTTTTAGTAGCGACTCGGTATATGCAAATTGTTTAAGAATAAAGTGGGGGATAAAGTGATAGTACTGCTTAATAAGGACTAGCATATTGAAATCTAGAAAGCTTCGGTGATCAAGTAGATTAGCTACTTGACTGAATAGAAATTGATAAATTGGATTGCGGGTTAAAGGAGAAATATTTTGGAGCCCACTTTTAGTCTGAAGAGGCTCGATAAAGCAGAATCATTCATGTCCAGTTAGGTTGTTAACTGGAATTTGTGACTTTTAAGGCAGGACCACAGCGGGGTGTCAGATATAAGTGGTGCGTGAAAATCAATTCGCAGTAGAATATTTACCTAACTAGTTGAACCCCTACATAATTATTAATAACTTATATAAATACAAGTATAAAAGTTCATCGAGACCCAAAATTAGTCAGAAATCTCTTGGGTCCCCTTGAACTTTTTTTTGGGTCCCGCTGAGCTGGAGTCAAGATTAGTCAGAATTTTTTGGCACCCGCTGAACTTTTTTTGACACCCGCTGAGCTGGCCCTCTAAATAGACGGGTATCCGTGCCCTTCGCTACGCTGCGACCCACCCATCCGCTTCCGCGTATGGGTGCGCCACCTTTTCATGCCCAATTTTCGAATACACCATGCGATTAACTAACCAAAACTAGCTAAAAACACGCAATTAACCCATATTGAAGAGCTCTCCGTTATCCTTCGCTTCCTTCGCACTATCCTTTGCCCTCTGAATAGTCTCATCCGATAGTTGTGAAGGCTTGAAGCCGTACGCCTTCTCCGCTGCCTTATCAATCCTCCGCTTCTCTGCAGCGTTTTCCTTCTCCTTTCTCTTTTTAATTGACCGATTCGCATCACGAGCCCTTAGTATACCATCCTGGCTAAGCGGTTTAACCTGCCGCTTAGTATATACTCGACATTGGGGGTCTTGCGCAGCCCGAACGCGCCGAAGTGAATCCTGCGTTATAGCAAGCTCCTCCAGCTTATCTAGCTGG